TTTACTTCGTAAACCGTAAAAGCACTTCTGAAACCATGGTTTGGTTTCTATCCAAACACCCCCTGAATCTCCAATTCAAATGGAAGAGTTGAGCCTCCTAATTCATCATCTGCATTCTTGAGCAGGTCCCAGTCCTATTTTTCAAGATATATTACTCAGAATTTCTATTAAGAAATTAATTTAAAAATTTGAATCTCCTTTCAAGGTCAAATCCTTCAAATCCTTCGTTTGGAAAGTAGATCATCAAAGGGACCCAAACTAATAATTTCTGCAATTACACATCTTTTTACAGCAACGTCGTTCCCTAATAGGTGCTGGGTGGAAAGCTGCCTGGAAAAACAATTTATTTTTGCATTTTAAGGGCAATAATTTATCATGGAATAATCTGTTTGGAATTCTCAGTGAACACTGGGGGGATGGGTATAGACTAAAGAAGAGATAACGAGACCAGGATTTGGGATGGCTTGCAATTTATGCCGAAGGAGAATGCTCTTACTGCAAAAAGTAAAGGGCATGTTAATGGTGATTACAATCATGCTATTAAGGACGTTAGTAATAGTTCATAAAATAGCAACACAATAATTTGAAGCGGTTTTATAGGACCGTTACCCATATGGTCAAGCCTTATACACTTTTTATATTTTGCATTGAGATAAATTAACAAAATTTTAATTTGAGTAATATACTACCTCCGGTCCTAATCATAAGAGCTAGTTGACTAATTTGAGAAGATTAATGAAAGAAGTTGTTATTTGTAATAAATAGGTGTTATCTTTTCTAAAATATCCTTGCTAATTAAGTGTATTAGCTAGAACTACCATTATTAGAACGATTTTCTTTAAAAAATGCATAAATTTGAGAGACAAAGTGAATTGAGGTATTATATTTATGACCAAAATAAAAGTCAAACAAAGTCTTATATTAAGAAACGGAGGTAGTAATATAATTAGTGATTTTTTTAAGTTTAACAATCTAAGTAGGAAGTTGCATAGTTCAGCTTCCTTTTGAAATGAATTTTTCTAACTATTAATCACACGTATATAATTAACATAAGACAAAAACTATTGGATAGAAGGCTGTATCGTTAATTTTCCTTATTTTTATCAAATGTGAGATTTTTTTCTGGCTATCTTTTTTATTTTGAACTTACATATTTAATGCTCCCTTGTTATATTGAAATTACATAACTAAGGCCATAGTTGTATTTTCATTTACATAGGTATTTCTATTTCGTTCATTTTCATTAATTTACTTTTTCCCATTACATTTCACATGTGATTGTAATTAGTTTTTTTTACTTAATTTTTTTCCTTTTTTTTGATAAAATAAGTTTTATTTTTTTATTTTTTTTAGGCATATGTTCTTTTTATTGAGAATAACCTTATTCGAAACATATCTCTCTCAGGGGGTATTTGGCAGCATCTTTTAATTATGGTTTTAAAAGACTAAACTGCGTGGAAACCTAAACCTTGATCACTTGTTCGATTTTTTTTTTGATATAGATGAGGGCCCAAGGCCCAGGAAAAGAAAGGTTTAACTAGGGGAAGAGAATCCCAATTGTTCACGTACAACGCACTCCCTGATATAATCAGGGCACAATTCTAAAACAGAGGACTCAGAAATTCCTCTCTTAGCCAGTGTGTCAGCTATGGTATTGTGCGATCTACAAATATGCTGCAATTTAACCTCCCAAGGTCACTGAATCATCTTCCGGATATTAACCATCAGTAGAGTACTTGTTGGAGAAACTATAGGAGAATTCAAGGCATCTATCACAAGTTTAGCATCGGACTGCACCATTAACTTCCTCACACCATAATCCCACGCCAGAGATAGCCCTTTGTGAATAGCCCATTGTTCTGCTTCCAAGATTGAGCAACTCCCTATTTGATGACAAAACCCAGTAATCCACTCCCCTTTTGAATTTCTCAAATAGCCCCCACAGCCAGCTTCATTAGAAATACTCGATTTAGCCCCGTCGACATTCAGCAAGAACCAATCAGGGGGCGGTGGTTGCCAATTTGTTCGAGAATCATTGCTATCATTTACCTTCAGTCTAGTCGTACAAGGTAAGAAATCCTACTCCTTGTGCACATAATTTTCCCATGTATTCAGGATAACATCTACTGGGTTCGGAGGCTTCTTAAAATGGTTCTCAAACATAAATTTATTCCTCCAAACCCAAAGTCTCCAAACGGCCACACCCCAGATTAAACTCCAATCACCACAGTCATTGGATCCTAACTCGTGTCTCATGTTTAGCTTTATCCAATCACAGAGGTTAGCGTTGAAAAATTTATTCACAAACTTAGGAGCAATAAGGTTCATCCATACCTGTTTAGCATAAGAATAATCTCTAACAATATGGAGGGTGTCCTCACAGTAAGAGTTGCAATAAGCACACAAAGGGGAGGAATTCGCCCATTGGCTCCTCCACATATTAGTCGGAAGTCTATCATGGACAAGACGCCACAAGAAAACTCTGATCCTTTCTACCCCTTTCCATTTCCAGATAGCTTTAAAAAGCTCATTATAATAATGAGGAGGGTTCTTTTCTATTAAAGCATAAGCGCTTTTCACAGTGAAATTTCCATCAGTTGAAGCACTTCATATCATAAAGTCTTCACCTGCATTAGCCATTGGTGGTAAGACACCCATAAGATTTTTGATGATTGTAGGGCTCACTATTTCTGCCAATTTCCGCAAATTCCACGAACCATGCTCCACCTAGTCCGCAACAAAGCTGTTTTCTTCCTCAACAGTAAGAGGTCTCTGACAAAAGTCTTTTATCCTCTTATCACCAAACAGCCAATAATCAGTGAAGAAATTAACAAATTCGCCATTTCGGATCTCCCATTTCACTCCTTTGTCCAGAATTTCTTCCTGTTTACAAATGAAGTGCCAAAGATTGGAATCCCCCCTACAAGCTCTCAGTAGATTCTCTTCATTTTTCATCATTTATTTCTGAGATAGTAATTCTGCCCAGAGACTGTCCTTCCTTTTGATCAGCTTCTAGGCAATCTTGGCACCACAAGCTCTATTCAGGGAAGCTAACTTCTTAAAACCCAGGCCACCAAAATCTTTAGGCATAGAAATTCTATCCCATCCAATAGAATGGGATTTGTTGTAACCCCAAATGAAATCTCTTTGCACTCTTTGCACTTCATAACAGATCTTCCTGGAAAGAGAAGCCACTTGCATCAGATAAAGAGGGATTGTACTGAGAATAGATTTCGCAAGTGTGATATGTCCTGCCATAGACAAACTGTCAGCCTTCCAAGCAGAGAGTCTCGATCGCACTCTATCCACAACATAATGAAAAGAATCGGTATTTTTCCTCTTTCTAGTCATAGAAAAACCCAAATATTTACCTATTTCTGTCGAGATTTGCATCGGAGTGACCTCTTTGATTTTCATTTTGATACTACCATTTACTTTAGGGGAAAAGAATAAGGAAGATTTACTTCTATTAACCTTCTCCCCTGAGGTAGTAGAAAATCTTTCCAAACACTCCATCATACAATTGGCTTGTTTTTCAGTCGCATCCCCAAATAACAGCAGATCATCCGCAAACATTAAATGAGAGATCTGAGGACGATTTGCATAAACACGAACAGGTTTCCAACTTCTGTTACCCACAGCATCACATATAATATGAGACAACCTATCCATACATAAGACAAACAAGAGAGGAGACATGGGATCCCCTTGCCTAAGACCACTGAGTGTCCGATTTGATTGACAGTCAAAAGTGTCCGAAGAGTGACCTGATATAAACCGGTGCCAAGAACCCATATAAAAAGTAAGCCCACAGAGTTTCAGTTTTGGTTCGGCAGAACTTCGGGCCCAACCCTTCCAGGTGGTCTCCTTTGAAGGCTCGAAGGATTTACATGCCCTCGTATCGAAAAAATACAAAAAAGAGGATTTGCTTGCTCCCTTGTGTCAACGTCCATTGGCTTTTTCCGTTTTCAATCAAAATTGAAAACTACCTGCTGGGATACGAAGAATCTGCCTTCGTTAATGTCACTTACTTTTTGACACACTTGACTTTTAGGTTCATGCACGCTGCCTTTTTATCTAATATATTTATTAATTAGAAAATATGATAGATTTGAAGTTTATTTTCTCGGTGAAAAACAGCAAAGGAAAGTAACAACATATAATACTACCTGATTTTCACTTTGAATAATAATAATACTAAGTTTTATTTCATTATATAAGTTTAGTTATATGGATTACATCATACTCCTCCGGTCCTTATTATAAGACCCAATTTGACTTTTTATTTGGTCCTAATTATAAGACCCAATCCATTTTTTCTCTTATATTTATGCATTTTTTTTCAAGATAATCCTTCTAATAATGATAGTTTTAGCCAATATACTTAATTAACAAGGATATTTTAGGAATGACAACACTTATTTATTATAAATAACCAACTTAACTTACTTCCTTAATCTCCTCAAATAAGTCAATTGGGTCTTATAATTAGGACCGGAGGAGTATTAATATATTTGATAAAACTATTGAAAGGTTTTGTTCCACAACCGATTTTGAGTTTTTTATTTTCATTTTTTTATCGCACTCAAAACTATCTTTCAACTCTTCTCATCTCACAGATTAAAAAAAAAAAGGATTTTGATAGAATATTAATTGCATCAAAAGGCATGATTTTAATAGTTTTAAATGGGAGATGGATGTTGGCCCAAAAAAAAAGGAGATGGATGACAATCTTGCCAAGGTACGTTTTTCGGATGCAAAACATAGGATGATTTTTCAGAAGAAATTATTGATTCATAATAAAAATTATTTAGAGAGTCATTAATTACTATTTTTTTTATAAATTTTATTTCTATATATTTTGTCTAATTTTAATTTCGGTAGTTAAAAGTGGTTTATTATATTTCTTAGATCTCGGTGACCGTTTAGGACAGGAGAGGAAGTTGAGGGCAGCGCGGATGGGCGACTGGTTCCAAATTCCAAGTCCAGACGAAACCAAATCAGAGGGACAAGGAGCGGGAAAGGCGCAGCAGCATCATCACAAAATTGAAAGAGGTGAAGTGTGAGTGTGACCGCGTGGCCATTCGAGAGAGCGAAACTGGGAGACAGATCACGCGATGACGACGACGATTTGCTCTACTCTGCTTTTTAATTTCAGCCATTTTTAATTTTCTCTCGCTTTGCCGCGATATAAAGTCCAAAGCAGCACTCAACTGCCATCCGCCAACGACAAAGTAAAAGCAAAAGAGAGCGAAATCTCGAAAGGCATTGACGCCATCGTTGCGTGCGTGTTTGTGTGAGGATTCTATTCCCCCCAACTACACAAAACCTGGAATCGCACCACCACGCAAAACCCTAACCCCAAATCCTATCAAATCAAAAGCCCTTGTAATAAACAATAATAACCCCGAATATCCCCAAATAGCCCTCCACCCCCACCCCCACTCACACTAATCTCTCTATCTTTAACAGTGATATCTGTCGCCTTCAATTGGGACTTTCCACCACTACGCCAATTTTTTGTCCTCTCTCTTGTCTCTATCTCTATTGGGTTATAAAACTTGGGGTGTTTGGGTATGAATCAAATTTCTGGGACCAAGGACCCAGAAGACGAGCCCGTGGCTCAGTCTCAGTCCCAGTCTCTGCCTCAACCCGAAGTCCAGGAGGTTACCAAGGGTTCCGATAAGACTGAATCGGTGGGGGGTGAAGAAGAGGCCGTGGTGGAGGAGAAACCAGTGAGCGATCCAATGGAGGAAGATCCTGTGAGTTCTGCCACTGTTTTTTGCATCAAGCTGAAGCAACCTAGGTCCAATTTACAGCACAAGATGAGTGTGCCGGAACTTTGTCGCAATTTCAGGTATGAACGGTGGAAAATAGCAAGGATTCTGGCTCAATCTCGTGCATTTGTTGATGGGTAGTTTTGAGCTTCCATCAAAATTGAATTTTTCGTGATATAAGTTTCTTCTGGCTTCCTACTCCTGTGTAATATGGCATTTCAAGTGAAGTGCATCTATTTATTTATTAAATATTAAGTATAGAGAAAATTGGAAACCGCTTGACCTATCAATTATAATAGTGCATGACACCAAACATGTGTGAAACGGAAACCATGATGAATTCTGCGTGGAGCTGCTTTCAGGCATTGGAGGGGAAAGTTATATTAGAAAAGTGTGCAAGCTTAAACAGTACTTAGAGGGGAGAGAACAATCATGAAGGGCTAGTTTACTTGACTGGCTCACAAAGACTATAAAGAAGTGTTGATGCTTCACCGGACAGTCCAGCCGTCCTTTGTTTCTAGATATTCACATGACGGTCTTACGGACAGATAACCATTTACACTAACTTGCGATGGCCTGGGGAAGAAATGGAGTTGAAGAGAGTTCTCCAAATAGATATTAATAAAAAGAGCTACCCTAATATCCCCAAGAAAGTACGCTCTACTCCACTGAAATAAATGAGAACACTCAGTTGCAAACTTTACCGAAACATATAGATTTTAACCTGAACATAAAGAAAAAGGTAGCGGATGAAGTTCTAATAGATAGCGTAAGGTCATAGTTATAAGTCGGAAGAGATATACTTATCCCACAAAAGACTAGATGTATCTTTTTTAGTAGGTCTGACGAGTGAGCCTTTGCACTGTTAAATAGAAGAACACTTGGAAAAGGCTTAGTTTTTCCCCTCTCGTTTGGGGGGGGGGGGATGGGCCAGTGATTATGGAGGCGTTTATTAATGCAGAGTGGTTAGGATAAAAGGACTACATAGCTAAACAGAGAAGCAGAGTTTAAAACTCTTGTTCAAGGAAATTGGGGGCTAATTTGGTAGAAAAGGCCAATGGAAGAACTTGCAATGTTAAATTTAGGTCTGTTGAAGCTTTAATGTGACACTAAGGTAGCAAAATGTATTGCTTACAACCTGGTTCATCAGGATTTGACCAAAGCATGTTCAGCAGACTAATGTTTCTTCAGATAAGGGATAGAAGATGAGGCACGTTTATTGTTACGCATCTGCCTGTGAAACAGCAAGTAGCGGATGTACTAATCAAATGGATACCTCAACCAAGTGTTTAAATGGTGGTTGATAAGTCGGAATTTGCGAGGTGGATGGAGAGAATCGCCTACTTGTCCTATTAATTTTCATATTCTTCTTATTTCTAGGAATTATTTCAGGGATTTTTATTTCCTTCTCTAGCTTGATTTATTTTCAGATGCTTCCCTGTCTTTTGTCATGTGTTCCTAATGTGTAATTTCTCTGTTTTAGGTAGTTTATTTTACATCAGATGATTTTAGTTATTCTAGGATTATATTTCCTGATATAATGGGATCTATTTTGTTTTCTGTAATTATTAGCATGTGATTATCATTTATTTTCCTTTGTTTTGTTCCTTTTTCTGGTTCAGATTTGGCTAGATTATTGTTAGGTCTTCATCTATATATTGGTGTATTCAGGCTGAGCTATTGAATACTCCCTCCTATCCTTTTTATAAGACAAAATTACCTGCCTTACATGTCCTAATAAAATAGTTTTAACTAATTTATGTCTTAAAAATTTTCCATCTTTCCACTTCCCTCAATTAATGTTCATCATTTTCTTAACTTCACTCCAAGGCGCATCAAGTCTTTTCATTTATTGATTAGGGCATTTTAGGGGGGGAAAAATAATTTCTTCTAAAATTTTGTAAATTGTCTTATACGTAGGGACACCACACCTTCCAAAGTTTTGTCTTGTAAGTTATAATTAGGAATGGAGGGAGAATATGACAATGATAATACCAGTTTCTGTAGCTTGTTTGTGTTTCACCTCGGCTTTTAAATTTATTAGGAGAGAAGAAACAGATAGGATAGTTTGTTGTCTTGCCTGAATGAAACTGATTGGATGAATACATGGATTTTATCCCACAATAATGCCTTTTATATCATAAAGCGTCCTTGGATTGTTCCACTCTGTTGGTGTACAATTTTAAAAGTTCTGCTGGTATTTTGATGACTCTGTTAGTTGAATTTATTCCTGTGTAGCTTTAAGCTTTCTATGCCAGTGTGTCATCTGCTGCCAAGTCGTTGAACAAAAATAATACATCCTTTTTTCAATCTCTGTTTTTGTTTTTGTTTTTTCCCCAGTGCTGTTTCTTGGTGTGCAAAACTGAATGCTATAGCCTGTGCTGCTGAAACATGCGCCAGAATCCCAAGGTTAGTGTCCCAATCTAGTTTTATTACCTGCCCGAAAGTCTGTGATTGGATACTAATTGTTTCATTAAGTGAGAAAATTTCTGTTTGGACAAATGATGACGAATTACAAATTAAAGAGTATAAATTTTGATTCCAGAAATTCTTATTTTATTCAGAGGCATCCGTACACTTTGCAGAAGCACAAACCCTAGTTTTCAGAAAATCATAATAAATCTAAACAAATCTCCTATCTTAAATGCTAGGCGAGCCATCTGACTTAGATAGAATAAACAGAGAGTTTGAAACTCTAAACTGAAAATAAGAGAGCCACAAGGCTTGGGGCCAACGGGCCTCTTTCAGTGTCAACAAAGAGCAAAAGAACTTATAAGAATGAGAAAAAATTTTCATTGGTCTGTCGGGCTTGTCCAAAATGGGCTTGTCCATGCATTAAATAAATTGAACCTAATTATCATCATATATCAAATATTGAAAGTGCCTATAGTTTTAATTCAAACTCATCTAATTGTTACTACAAAGGCTTATATGATTTCTATCCCTGCCCAAGTATGTGTTGCTTATCCAACACACTGGTTTGCTGACACTGCTTTATGGTCGTTTTTGTTAGTAATTTTACAGCGTCAATTTATTTGTTTATTTGTTTTGATGTAGTTCAACTACCAATCCACCATTTTGGATCCCTATACATATTGTGATCCCAGAGAGACCCACTGAATGTGCAGTGTTCAATGTCATAGCAGGTATCTTGGTGTCACTGCTTTCTTCACTAACTCTAGGTGTTTTCTTCTTGTTTCGCTTCATGCTGTTGTTTTGACTTATTCTTTTCTCAGTTATATGCATAAGTTATACTGCTTACAGTTATTATTTTTCCATATTACCATTGTACAAATCATGCTTGTGAGAAATTACATACCATTTAGAATTTGATGAAATGGAAAGAAGTCAAACGGAGCATAAATAATAAATCTAAAAATCTGGAGATGCAACAGAAAAAGGTAATTTGTTGATATATCCCCTCCTTCGAGTATGAGAATTTTTGGTACTTGATGGGTAATACATCACTTGAGGATGTCATTTGGAGGTACGGTTACAATATGCTATTTTAAAATTTTAAATTATTGTAATGTGTTGTTTTTCCATTGTTATTTTTGTTAAAAACATGGATGGATGTTTTCATAACTGTGAGTCTTCCATATATATATATAGATATATTATTCTTAGATATTTGATTGGATGTGTGCTATACCTTTTGCAGATTCTCCTCGAGATTCTGTTCAGTTCATTGAATGGTCTCCTATTTGTTGTCCACGTGCATTATTGATAGCTAATTTCCATGGGAGAGTGACTATCTGGACTCAACCATCTCAAGTAAGCATTGTTGGTCTCATTCTTAAGGCTGCATAAATGGATGATGCTTTGCAAATTTTCTGGTTTAGTTTTTAAGTTTTATATAGTATCATGTTCTTTGGCATGAGTTTTTTTGCGGTAGTAATCACGTTGAACCAATAATGTCAGTTATATAATCTGATTTAATTCCAATTTCTTAAGCTTGCTATTTTCCTGCAAATGTATATATTGTTAAATCATATTTACTTAATCTGATACTTGCTTCCATTGGCTGGTTGTTTATTTTTTTCCCCAAATCTTGACGTTTAAGGACTTAGTTGTACAATATAGCTCTGTATAGAAGGAGCTTAATTTGATTGACGATGCCTATCTTTAGGTTAACCTTTTGTCCGCATTCTCTCTTTTCTTGCCTTCACCATTCCTCAGCTTCGTTTCAGTTTTATGCTTGTTACTTATTCTTATCAAGGTGGCTTATTGTCTATCCATTCAGGGTCCAGCTAATCTTGTGCATGATACTAGCTGCTGGCAGCGGGAGCATGAGTGGCGGCAGGATGTTGCTGTTGTTACAAAGTGGCTATCAGGGATGTCTCCGGTATGCAGTTAACATCTCTTGTTTGCCAATCTGATGTTTAAATGTTCAGAAGACGCAGAGAAATTATTAATCATTATTTCACTTTTGTTTCATGATTTAAATAAAGTATTTTGAATATGTAAGATATTTGGACTGATAATTACCCCCCCCCCCCCAAAAAAAAAAAAAGGTTAGGCGTGATTTTGACCTCCAAAAGGATATGCTCTCACAAAAATTGTTCAACCAACTCTGTACGGAGTTAGAAAATATGATTTTTTTTTTTTTTTGGGGGAGGGTTGGTGTTGGGTTTGTGAACATATTTCAAGATTTGGTTGTTGATAGAGAACAATGATGTCGTGCCATCCTTGTAGCCATTTCCACTTAATGAGATAAATATTATTGTTGTAGGCTGCGTTTGTGCTCTAAAGTTGAAAGGATTTCTTATTGCACAGGCTTAATTGCAGTTGAGGTCTGCCAAGTCTTGCAAAGTTCCATATTTGGTCCCCACCCCACAAAAATTAAAAAAAGGAGAGCCCAACACCCAAGTTGCTATTGCTGAAACTGAGTTGTGCCTCTACATAACTGTCAGTGAAGATAGTTTCACATCAGCAAAAAAAAAAAAAGGAGAGCCACTTAGAAAAGCAAATACCACCTGATCTTCAAGTTACCCAAGAAAAGGGTATCTTGTCGCCCTTAATTGAAGGACTCAATTTCATTAATTCAGAAACCATGAGGGCAGCATTGCTGCAACTGAGACTTCTGTACTAAAATTGAATTATTTTAAACTAGGGAACCAAAAGTTTAATTAAGCCTGTTTTTATTTCTGATTCTGTTTGTTTGACTTAATTTTCTTTTATCAGGATATATTATTAATATGACAATTTTTACTTTTTTTTTTATCTGAAATTAGTTTTGAAATATCAGTATAGGTGGCTTTCATCCCAGTCGAGTGTTTCTGCCAATTTGACATCAACATTTGAGGAAAAATTTCTTTCTCAGCAATCACAAAATTCAGGTTCTCTTTACGTTTTCATTTCTTTATCCCCTTTTTTCCTGTAATTTTGTTTTCTAGGTTTTACTTGCTACTGACAGGTGAAATGTGGTACCATATTTGGATATGATGTTGCAGAAAGTTTTAATAGGTAGTTTAATTATGGCTGTGACAATCAGTATCAACATCATAATATAAAATACAAAAACTCAAACAAGCCATACTATCCTTGGCTGCTAATAATGCACTGCATTCTTGAGACTCTGCAATAACGCAATACACAGATCCAGATCTAGTTATGATGATGCCTGAAACCTGCACACTGGTCATCTCTTCTTTATACGGTTCCTTAATTATTTGTTCATTTGTTTCGTATGGTTCTCTTTTTTGTTGGTTAATATTGCAGCTCTATGTTTTTATAGCAGTAAGCTTCCGTATCTGATGCATAAGTTGTTTTGGTTTCAGCTAGATGGCCCTATTTTCTTTGCGTCTGTTCCATTTTCTCATCAGGCTCTGTTCAACTTCATTGGTCCCAGTGGCCCCCCAGTCAGAATGGTGCACCACCCAAATGGTTTTGCACTAGTAAAGGGCTCTTGGGTTGTGGGCCCAGTGGAATTATGGTTGCTGACGCTATCATAACAGACAGTGGTGCTATGCATGTGGCAGGTGTGCCAACTGTGAACCCATCCACCATTGTTGTTTGGGAGGTGACTCCTGGGCCTGGAAATGGCTTCCAAGTAACGCCAAAGACAAGCACTAGTAATGGTGTCCCACCTCTTAGCCCACCCAGCTGGGCAGGTTTCGCACCTTTAGCTGCATATTTGTTTAGTTGGCAAGATTATCTGCTATCTGAAGCAAAGCAAGGGAAAAAACAAACAGATCAAAGCCTTGTTGATGCTGTGCCACTTCACTGCTCCCCAGTGTCAAATTTTTCAGCGTATGTAAGTCCTGAAGCTGCGCCTCAGTCTGCTGCAACTACAACATGGGGTTCTGGTGTAACTTCAGTGGCTTTTGATCCAACTCGTGGTGGTTCTGTGATAACTGTAGTGATAGTGGAAGGTATGCTCCTAATTCCAACCCAGTTTCTTTTCCCTTTCTTTTTCAAGCACATTCGTATGATTTTGGATTCAAGGGATGCCCCCAGTGGGGTGCCTTTTTTTTTTTTTTGGGGGGGGGGGTATTGGGTCATGTTGCCCTGGCGTAATGGGTCCTCTGGCACTTAGGGCTGGGGTAAGTGCCTTGTCGCTTGAGGGCTGCTGCTGCAGACAAACAGAATTTCATTTTGTTCCTAAGGCTTGTGCCTCATCAATTATGCCATATTTCTTCACTGTTTTTTTTTTTTAATGCTTCCTTTCGTATTTCCATTAATCCATTAATTTCTGTAAATGCTGTAATTTACTTAAATTTCAGTGATATTCATTTTTATAATTGTGTTAAATGCTCCACTTTTAAAAGGAGCTAAGGAACCAATTTTTTTCACAGGAAGCTTCATATTTTCCCCATCACCTGCACCATACTGGAGTTTTATGTTCTTGCTACTCAAAATAAGACATTTTGAGATAATATGCTCAAACTTTGTTACAGTTAATGAAATTAGTTGCCCTTCACTAGGAGTTCTGTCTATTTTGATGTAATTATCTGTGGTCTGTGTGGTCTGTGTGGTCTTTGTTTGCTCTTTTTATCCCATCCTACCATTGCAGGTGCTCCTTTTTCTTGTTTTTTTTTTTTTTTTTGGGGGGGGGGGTTTATGTGACTTGAAGAGCATGATATTGTGAGGTGTGATTAGCGTTGCTGCTGTCTTTCTTAAGCTTCCACTTCCCTGACTATGGAGTAGACAATCTATGAGGGATAGGAGTAGGCTATCTATTTATTATGGTTTTGTACCATTTTCAAGCAAATATGATCTCAAACTGGGATCTAAAAATAGAAGTCTAAATTGATTTAATTGCCTACATTTTGAGGAAAAGACTGGAAACCACTTGTTATCATTGGACAAGCTGTTATAAAAGACAGGGATTTTAAGTACTGGCTGCTGAAGAAAAACGTTAGAAGCTTAAAACCAAATGATTGATGGAGCAGATAACGCTTATGTCCCCTCCTTCTGATAGTGGTGCCTTGAATCTTGCACTTTTCATCCTAGGTCAAGTTAATTTTCAAAATAAGACATCTTACTAAAGTAACACATTGGGATTTGAAAGTACTCATTCTTATTTTCCACATTTCTCCATCTCTAAATTTTTGACAGTGCTGTCTATGATCCAGATTTTTTGTCAGTATTTGATGACGGAGTTAGCAAATTGATGTATGGCTGTTTTATGCAGGACAATACATGTCCCCTTATGACCCAGATGAAGGCCCTTCAATTACAGGCTGGAGAGTACAGCGCTGGGAGTCTTCTTTTCAGAATGTTGTCCTTCATCCAATATTTGGGAACCCCACCTCCAGTATGGGTGGACAGCCACCTGTGCAAACTGTTTGGCAGTCTAAGGTAGACCTGAGCATACCACCGACAGATGATTTCAAAATTCATCAAGCTGCTGCTGCTGGACTGAGTGGAGTTGTGCAAAAGGCATCTGAGCCTGGTTCTGATAAGTCAAAAAGGGTTGGTTTTGATCCATCTGATCTTCCAAGTGATGTCAGGGCACTTTCTCGAGTTGTTTACTCTGCTCATGGTGGTGAAATTGCCATTGCTTTTCTTCATGGTGGGGTGCACATCTTTTCTGGCCCCAATTTTACACCTGTTGACAGTTATCAGATTAATGTTGGATCTGCAATTGCTGCTCCTTCCTTTTCTGCAACAAGCTGCTGTTCAGCTTCTGTTTGGCATGACACTAGCAAGGACCGTACGATATTGAAAATAATCAGGGTTCTTCCTCCCGCTGTTCCACTTAGTCAAGTAAAGGCCAACTCATCATCGTGGGAGCGTGCAATTGCTGAAAGGTGGTTTCCTAAATCTATTGCTTATCCCTGTTTGTTGTTTACTCTCCACAAGCTGCTTAAGTACTAGATTTGTCTCCTTTCAAGGATTTCCCTCTGCTGTGCTAATAACTGTAAGGATAAGCAGGTTTTGGTGGAGCCTTATGGTTGGTGTTGATTGGTGGGATGCTGTGGGCTGCACACAGAGTGCTGCTGAGGATGGTATTGGTAAGTACTAAGTGGTTGCATGTTATTAGAGGATATAAAAGAGATGAGATTGGAGGTGTTAATGAGCCATTTGGTTGATGAAAGGGAAAGGAATTCCTTTCCTTTTCTCAAGCAGAGAAAGATATATAATATTTATTATATCATTATATTTCTGTCACCATTATTCAAAAGAAGTTGTCTTTTTCTTTTTTTTTAAGGGGTGAAAGAGACATTCTTTATTTAAAAAATTTACTGTTTTCATCCCATTTTCTTTGTCATTCCATTCCGTAGCAAAGGCCTCTGGATTCTGATTATTTTCTGAGAGTACCTATATGTAGAGATCATGGCAACATGTTTGGCAATAGAATCCGTCGAGATAAGGTAATAAAATCATGAGCAGAAAATAAAGACAGAATAAATGCATTAATGATGAATAATAGAGTCACAGACCCAGGAAACAGGAAAAGAAATTAATGAAGTTGACTTGATCCTGTGATTTTATGGATCGAAACCTTTAATCTGGGAATGATGGCTGGTTCACTAATCTGGGAATCACAGCTGGTTCACCAACATAATTCTTGTTTTACGATGAAGGACAATATTATTTATTTTATTTGATGTGTGTATTATGTTAGAAAACATATGAAGCCTTGGTTCTCTGAATTGATAATTCTTTTTTTTTTCTTTTGGTTTTGTTTCAGTCTCACTGAACAGCGTTATTGCAGTCTTGGATGCAGATTTTCATTCCCTTCCTACTACTCAGCATAGGCAACAGTATGGCCCTGTATGTTCCAGTGAATGAGTTCAACTATACATGATTAACCCTGATAGTTATCTCTTACTTCTTGTTCTGCATGATCATCAACTGAACACCATTATCTCTAGGGATTTCTTATTCTGTCCATTGTGATGAGAGTATACTGTTTTGTTCACTATTGGTGGATTGTTTTTCAAATTTGAAATGTCATTTGGAAATTCTTGGCCAAGCAACAAATGCTTGTTGACCATTTCGGGCTTCTCCACTGAAGTAGTGGCAATGTATTGCATCACTGCAACTTAACATAACCTCGATGTCTATTGCTTGTCCTTGCTAAGTGCCTAGTGAATAATAGAGAGGCTGTGATGCTTCAGTGTTCTGTAGTAAAAAACTCAATCTGATGCCGGTTTGATCTATGAAGCCTTCAATATACATATGCGAGAGCATATGGTGAGGCGTCTTTATCCTTAGTGGGTACTTTATGCCTGAAGGTCCCTATGTTGCCTCCTTTGGCCTTGTGGTTCTCCATAATTTAACATGTAGAAATAAGAATACTCTGGGTAGAATGACCAACTTGCTTATCCAGGCACCTTGCTCTGTTTATAATTACTAATTTTTACAGCAGAAAGAGAAACGTGCAAGAGAGGAGGAAGAAATTATTGATAGGTCATGCAAGATGTTGTAGGAGTGGGATATATTCTAGATATTTAATTACGAATGTAGTGGTTTAGTAGTTTAATTCCTTGGTTCATTAGAGAAAGAGTGTTTACAATTCTTGCACTTGTGTTCTTATTTTAACCTGGCTCTCACACGCTCACCATTCTAACCTAACCTACCTAGTGCTGTTGTGTGCTGCGTCCATTAGCTGAGAGAACTTTGTGCTATATGTAAGTTCCAAAGGTTTTAGCCCAGGCATTGAGGGCAATGTGTTTTGGCATTGCATGTGCTTTGCTTTCCTCTGTGCTTCTAACTTGATTGTAATGATCAGACTTTTAAGGGGAACTGTTTAGTTTTGTGGCTTCTTCAACGAGGATATCTAAGATAGTCTACCATTTCTTTGTGCTTTACCTCTCTTCTGTATAAAACTTTCATCAACGAATTTTTCTTCTGTTGATTATTGTGTTATCATTCTATGTTGCTACTTTCTAGGCTTAAGATGCCTGGTTTTGTATGATTGCAGAGTCTAGACAGGATAAAATGTAGGCTACTGGAAGGAACAAATGCCCAAGAGGTCAGGGCAATGGTCTTGGATATGCAAGCTAGGTTGTTGTTGGATATGCTTGGGAAAGGAATCGAATCAGCTTTTTTAAATCCTTCTGCTTTAGTGGCTGAACCGTGGCAAGCATCTGGTGAGACATTATCCAACATTGATCCTGAAGCAATGGCCGTTGAACCTGCTCTAGTTCCAAGTATCCAAGTATGCTACCGTTACATCTATAAATGAGTTTCTTTTCTTTTCTTTTCCTTCTTTTTTTTTTTTTTTTTTTTTTTATTAAAATCCAAGATGACAGTTCAATGCATGATTCATTCTGCATACTCATCTACCCTCTGTTCAATCATGGCACATATAAGCGGTCATACAGTATGCCCAACGAGGCATGGAAAACACTCATAAACTTGCACAAGGCTTGCCTACCTGTCTGCATATGCTATATATAACTGAATGGACTTTTACAATTTGCAGTTTCTGAAGTTTTTATTTTTGTGGCAGGCTTATGTTGATGCAGTTCTTGATCTTGCTTCACATTTTATTACACGTCTGCGGCGATATGCTAGTTTCTGTCGTACATTGGCAAGTCATGCTGTGACTGCAGGCACTGGAAGTAACCGCAGTATGGTTACTAGTCCTACCCAGAGTTCTCCAGCTCCGGCAACAAGTCAGGGACAAGTTCAGGGTCAGGGTGAGTACTTGATATGCACTGATCCGATTGATTTTTCAGAATTATTACTATGTGAAATTGTAACATTTCATCAAATAACCATTGTGTAAATCCTTGCTAGGATTATAAATGTGAATGTTTGAAGCATTTTAAGATAACTATCATATGTCCTGCCTTGCTTTCACCATATTTTCACGTTATTGAATCAAATTAAAATGAAGTCAATGTTTTCCAGGAGGTCAAAATGGGACTACCAGCTCTACTGGAAGCACCCAGATGCAAGCCTGGCTACAAGGGGCAATTTCAAAGATCGGTAGTAGCACTGATGGAGTGTCCAATCTGCCTCCAAATCCCATCAGTGGTCCTTCATCATTTATGCCCATTAGCATTAATACCGGAACATTTCCTGGAACACCTGCTGTTAGACTTATTGGGGACTGTCACTTCTTACACAGATTGTGCCAACTGTTGCTTTTCTGTTTTTTCTTTCGAAGAACACAACTTCCCCGCTATATGGGGGCTGCACATAGAACTGCTGATGCAAATATGCAGAAACCCCAAGCTAATGGTCCTGCTTCTGCCAAGGTGGAGGACATTGCGAAGCCATTGTCAGGTGTGGTGAGGTCAGATGATAATCAAACAGGTCGTGCTGGTCAGCTGGTGCCTGGGACAAAAGGAGGCGAGGAAGCATCCTCTGGGCGTTCCCGATTGGGCACTGGAAATGCTGGCCAAGGATATACGTTTGAAGAGGTATGAATAGCTGAGTCCAACTATATTGATTTATTTCTTGCATAAATGAGTGTGGAAATGTTGTTGCATCTTTTACATATTGAGGCCATGGCACATATATATTTGTACGAAGCATAGCCAGGGATGACAGGTGTTCTCTGCGCTGGCTTTGATTCAACAGGCACTCCCAGAATAAACGGATACATAGGGAGAGGGACTCGATGTAATCCCAAAAAACTAGGACTGATCGTACTAACTGATTACCTTCTAATTAGCTGATCTAAATATCAGCATATAATTCAAAATATACATAGAATATAAACCGAAATGCAAACATGCCAAAAGTCTCCCAATATAAGCTCAAACTGTTCATTTTTCCTATTTCTCCTATTGCATTGATATTGCAGGTGAAGGTGCTTTTCTTGATACTTATGGACCTGTGTCGCCGAACTGCTGGTTTGCAACACTCTTTACCAGTTTCTCAAGTGGGGAGCAGTAACATTCAGGTTCGGCTGCATTATATCGATGGGAACTACACAGTTCTGCCAGAGGTTGTGGAAGCATCCCTTGGCCCACATATGCAGGTATACTCACATTTCCCCCTACTTTATTGTGGTGTCATATTTATGGGAGACAAATTAAACTGGTTAAAGTTGGTTTTCATGAATTGGTCACAAATTTGTGATGTTCTTGAGTAAGATTTTGGAACTGTGGTATAATAATATTTTATAAGTCTAAGCAAGACTGGAGGGAGTTTCAGTTATTTGTCCTTTTGTGACCGTGGCTTTCCATAGTTGTATGTTGTTCCTGAGTTATTGATACAGAAAACTACAAAGATTATTCAAGAAAAAATTCTTTTTGTATTAAAATTATTCAAGAGTATTTGATAAAATTCTTTTTGGGTATAAATACGGCTATCCAGAACATGCCCCGTCCTAGAGGTGCAGATGCTGCTGGATTACTTCTTCGTGAGTTAGAACTCCACCCTCCAGCAGAAGAGTGGCATAGACGAAATATGTTTGGTGGACCTTGGTCGGATCCAGATGATATGGATTCTGCAAATGATGCACCTAAACTAATTAGTTATGAAGATTCACTAGATTTCAGTTCACTGGAGAATTGCGACAGTGGGTCTCACAGGTTATGGCCTAGGAAGCGAAGGATGTCTGAACGAGATGCAGCTTTTGGGTTGAACACTTCTGTGGGCTTGGGAGCTTATCTCGGTATAATGGGATCTCGGAGAGATGTTGTTACTGCCATGTGGAAGACTGGCCTTGAAGGGGTTTGGTACAAGGTTTGAAAATAAATCCTTTTAATATTTACATTGTGTTTACTCTATGTGCGTGTTGTAGAACCTTTAAATGCTTGTTGTTGGGTGATTAGTCATTGGTTAGAGATTCCTGAAACAATTTTCAACTTACAAGTTCATTGAAATGCTAATGGTGGAGCCCACAAAACCTTTCAATTGGGTTCTCCAAAGATAAAGTATCCCAGTTCAAGGGCCTTGGAAGTAATTTTGTCCAAGCAATATGGTTCTTTTGCTAGGCAAAATTTCCATTTTTTCGAAATGGTTCTGATGGGATCCCACATGCTGTTAATTCATTACCCAGACTTCCATGGGTGTCATCTCCCCTTAAAATGTTGCCTTTTTAACAGTTGGTTGGCGTTGTGGAAGTTTCTGAAATGGATGTGTGTCTAAACTCTCATCTGTACCGTCTTCCTCACCCTTACCCACCCCTACCCACCAAAACGTCTCCTTTCCCCTGCCTTTACACTTGTGTATCATTTTTTGTTATATAAATGAAGATTGCCAATTGAGTCCGGACCCAAATGTTGGTGGTGATCAGGCGTGACTAACTCTGTAAAGTCAAAATCATGGCACACACCATATGTAGTCAAAGACTTTTGTTTATTCTTCTATCCACCTTTGTAGTCTATTGTCTGCCTGCCTGGAGAAAGTTCTTATCTTTTGTGCTGTATCTTGACTTCTTTGTGGTGCAGTGCATAAGATGTCTGCGGCAGACTTCGGCCTTTGCTTCACCTGGTGCTGCTAACCCCCCTAACCAGAATGATCGAGAAATGTGGTGGATCAGCCGCTGGGCCTATGGTTGCCCCATGTGTGGTGGAACATGGGTTCGAGTTGTATAGCTGGCTACACCACCATTTTTATGATATGGGTTTCTCTGTGCTAACTAAATGTAATTTAGCAGCATTGCATGCATTTGCTACATGTATGCTAAATGCAGGTGATTCGCTGACTGCAATTGTACAGGAGAGGAGAGTTGCTGAAAATCTTGACATCTGAATTGGACTTCAGTAGCTTTTCTGCTGATCACCTTGTAGGGTTCTGTTGAATTCAAAGCAATTAATCCTGATCTTAATCTTTTTATTTTGGGAAGTATGGCAACGTTACCACCAAAGGATTGGTTTCCACTTTGCACGGTGTTTGAAGGCTCTTCCTGGCAGGTTTGTATTGACTCATGGACACTCTTTATTCCTTAAAATCGCCTAAAGTCCTTTGCATGTGTTTAAAAACTCTGTTAAAGGATTAACACTAAGGGCATATCGTTTATCATTGAGAGGCTTGGTTTCCCTTTATCTTACACCCAAAAGTTTATGTTGTAGAAAACATCTGTCTAAACTTTTCAGCGTGTACATGTTAATAAAATAGTAGAGGGGCTACTGCATATATCTCAGCCTTTCTATTGGTCCTATTTCTTTTGTTTTTGATTTTGATTCTTACACTGTGTAAGGCATTGAAAGAAATTTTCCTGTTTTTGATAGCATATTTCCCAGTTTTTCCTATATATGAAATTTTGATTGTGGTGGTTGTTTCCGATTCAAATTCCCACAAAATCTCTTGAATCTTGAAACCGCTATATGATCATTGAATTTCCCAAATTCCTGAGATACGTTCCTTTCCTGAGAGTTTTTATTTTTAATCGCGTAAAGCATTTGTTGTAATTTTATACGCATAAGGCCATAACATAACAAGGAAGATATGAGATGGTTTATTTATGTGACGATTGATCATCATATAAGAAAGAACCCTTGTGTATCTGCTTATTTGAGGTATCTTCGCAGGCAGTATTGTTGAAGTGATTGTTGCTGGTTGATCCAAGATCAGGAACCTGTATCAGGTGTCCTTGTTAATCCAGTGAAAAAATGGAAGTGCTATGGGCTGCCCCTGCATGAGTTTATAGAAACCTATTCGGTTGGTCAGTGATATGTACCATATAAATAATAGTCACCTCAGTAACACTAGCAGAAAATTTGCTGTCTCTGCATGTGCTACTAAAGAGTAGATGGGCATTTACAGGCTCCTTTGTTTTTTTAACTAACATGTAAACAATGTTTTAATAATATGATAGTGTGGGTCCTGACAAGGAGAAGCAATAGTCATAACTTCGAAGTTATTGCAAGCGGTTTACTTGACTACCTTGGGTTTGTTCTCCTGGCTAATTGCAAAATGGAAATGTTTGTTTAAATCTTTGCGGTAATGATCTCTAATGAAACCATGCCATCTACGTTCTGTGTTTTTAAATCTCATCTTACAGCTCAATTTTTTTTTTTTTTAACTCAACGGTGTCAAGTTCAATTACTGGGAACAATTTTATAGTCTCAATTCAAGTTCAGAACAGAACCTGGGCCAACGATTTGTGCAAAACTTCTTTCATACACATGAAATACGAAATAAACCAGTTGAGATAATTTTACTTTGAAATGTTGAAAGAGGCAAAAGGAAAAGGAAAGAAAGCAGCGAGGTTACAAGGACAATAGCAGCAAAAAATGACAGCCAATAGCAGGCACTGGGGAAGAATATAAAGTCCTGTTTAATATGAATCATTGAAGATGAGGAATAGGGGCTGGGAATATAATTAAAAAATCATTAAAAAAGTTTTTAGTATGAGTAATTATTTGTTACATAGGATTAGGTAAGCCGATAGAAGTGGGATTATGTCTTTTTATGATATTTTCTAATTCTATATAATTTCTTATGCTAAATATTATTTTGTCAATTTCAATCTCTATCCTCTCTTTTTAATGTAGTGTACCAAACACTACTTTAACGTGATCTTGACTTAGTAATAAAAAGAGCCCAACGACAAATCAATGACAACGATTATTAATTTCAATCTTAATATAGTAATGTGATATATACATATATATATATGTATTAATATTAAAAGTAGGGTGATGTGAATCAATTCCGATCCCAAGATCAGTTTTATGATTTGGTGATAGTGATCCCGTCTACAAACTCATTTGTTAAATTTCATATCAATCTACCAAAGCATTTAAATTCCATATTAAAACATTAATATATATAGTAAAATTAAACTCATTTTACCACCTTAAGTAGGAATGAGCGGTATAAAATTTTATTTGTAAGCAAATAGTATTATTTGCCTATTTGGTTACCACTTTTATGAATTATGACATAGTTGGGAGTGCCTAAAAGACAAATTTACACATTTTCTTATGTAAGGATAAAATGCATATAATTTTATTATAAATTATTAATATAATAAAATATAAAATAAATCGCATCATTCAAATTTGCTAGTGCCATTTAGTATTTAACTATCAAATCTTATTTAAACCAAAATACAAACGATTAACGAAACGGCGCGTTCTGTGACATCCAGTTCCGGATCTCCAATTTCCAGTTTCAGAGTCGAGCTGAAGCAGTCGCAGGAGGAAGAAAAACTCGGCCAAGGAACTTGAACCTGAACTCGCTGTTCCTTCACTTCGAATACGATTCCAATCGAGCAGGGAAGCCGGAGAGGGAGAGATGAGTCAAGGATCTCATTCTTTGGCGTTTCGGGTCATGAGGCTGTGCAGGCCTTCTGTCCACGTAGATCCACCCCTCCTCCTCGACCCCGCCGACCTCATGATCGGCGAGGACCTCTTGGATGACCCCATTGCCGCCGAAAATGTCCCTCGCCTTATTGGCAGCAATGCCCATGTTGCTGATCATGGCAGCTCCGATCCCAATTATCGCGGCAGGTTCCTTCTTCATCATTGCTTCGATGCTATGGGACTCTCTGGTCTTCTAGTGCTCCCACAGTCTTTTGGGTATCGCATTTCTCTTACTCTTAGTTAAATTTCAAAAAAAATTTCACTTGATTGGTGAAACAATGAATCTGGGTGGTGCAGAGCCATTTATCTGGGAGAGACTTTCTGTAGTTACATTAGTATTAACAATAGCTCCAACTTCGAAGTCAGAGACGTTATAATCAAGGTGGGTTATGTTATCTTTTCTGCACCACACATTTATGTGGAGAAAGCTCCAAATCAGTCATGGTTATAATATCATGTTTTATGAATGTGGACTGATATTTGGAAGGAGTATTGCCAAATTGAAGTTGTATTCGATGTGATGGAAACTGACAGATTCTGGTATTTCCCTATGGCAGATTCGGCACACAAAAGATGCTGTTTAACCTTCTAGTTCATAAGGATTCCTGCCATTTAAGTTCCCAAAAAAAAAAAAAAGTTCTTAACAGAATTGTTGTCTTGGTTGATCTAAAAATTTTGAATGGAATAGTAGTTTTAAAGAGTAAGGCAATAGAGGTGAAAGTAGGCCCCTTTGAAGAGCATGTCTTCAACCTTTTGTACGCTGTAAAAGTCTATTTATCTGTGTTGTACAGAAGCTCAATAGAAGAATCCTTTAGCTTCATCTTATCTGCACCAGTTGAGTTTTTCCTTGAACAAAATTCATCCTTTTCAGTTATTCAAAAACTTGCTTATTTATTGCAGGCTGAAATTCAAACAGAGAAGCAGAGAATACTTCTTTTAGACACATCCAAATCACCTGTTGAATCAATACGTTCTGGTGGGCGTTATGATTTTATTGTGGAACATGATGTCAAAGAGCTTGGACCTCACACGTAAGTGGTATCTTATTAATAATGTTCCCGTGTACAATGTTATTTTTCTATTTTCTTTTGGGTTTGTTAATTTGACCATGCACTCATCCTTAGGCTGGTCTGTACTGCATTGTACAATGATGGTGATGGTGAGCGTAAATATTTACCCCAGTTTTTCAAGTTCATTGTTGCTAATCCCCTCTCAGTTAGGACCAAGGTATCACTCTTTCCTTGTAAATCCGACTCTGGTAATACTTATGAATGTGAATGAAATTATGCTCACAATTTAAAGAGTACATATTATTACTTACTATTGGCTTGTTGAAAACTTTTTGCAGGTCCGTGTTGTCAAGGTATGTGAAGATTTGATTAAATTCATTGTACACTAAATGTTAAGGTTTGTAGGGTCAATTAGAAAGCAGAGGAAAGAACTGTATATTGAAGGTTTATTGGGTATACACCTACTTATGGGAAAGGCTTGGGTGAAAGCTCCATAGGCTTTTTAGGTTTTGGGCTTAAACTCATGCATATATAAATTCTGGCATCGCGATGCGACTATCTGTAATTTATGTGTCAAAGATGTTTCTCAGGAAACTACTTTTTTGGAAGCTTGTATTGAAAACCATACAAAATCAAACCTTTTCATGGACCAAGTTGATTTTGAACCTGCTCAGCATTGGAGCGCAACAATACTTAAAGGTGATGAACACCATTCTGAGAAAGAGCGTTCAGCAAGGTCTGCTATGTATACCATTTAGAGTTAAGCATCTAATTGGCTATTAATTTTACACAATGTGTGAATTCTCGTTACCAATCATGAGGTAAACTGAATTTGCAGGGAGACATTTAAGCCACCAATATTAATCAGATCTGGTGGTGGAATTCACAATTATCTTTATCAATTAAAAATGTCTTCACCTGGTTCTGCGTCCAAAGTTGAAGGAAGTAATGTTCTTGGTAAACTCCAGATAACATGGAGAACAAGTATGGGTGAACCTGGTCGCCTACAGACTCAGCAGATACTGGGGACTGTATGTGCTTTTTCCCTCTGTAATGACATTCTATTAATGCATTAGTTATTCAATTTATTCATGCCATTTTGTTAAAAGTTCATGGCTAGACTTCATTTCTGAAAAACATCTCATCTGAATTGTGTGTGTCATGGTGCCTATATGATAAATACACATGGTAGACAAGTGTTCGATTCAATTTTCTGAATTATGAATGTGTGGTTTTCACATGCACCACCTTTTATTGCAAGCATGTGACGTATGACTTGCATACGCACTTCAGATGGTGTCTTATTGTCAGGATGTATTTATTTGCAGCCAATAACAAAGAAGGAGATTGAGTTGCAAATAATGGAGATGCCACCTACTTTCAGCCTTCAAAGACCCTTTGTGGTAATCTGTACTTCACTTTTCTACCCTTTATATTAATTATTATATTCTCTGTTTATCTGGTACACTTTCTATTCTAATTAGCAGTTATTGGTACTTATTTTAATACTATGGTATATTCTCTTAGGGATAGCCTTTTTTCTGGTTTTAATTCATTTTTATTTAATAGTGAGATTGTGCTGCTAAAACTAATAAATTGAGAAGCTAAGTTGATTACCTGTTACTTGCAGCTAAAACTGAATCTTACAAACCACACAGACAGAGAGCTGGGCCCATTTGAAGTTTGGTTGTCCCAAAATGGTTTACATGGGGGTAAAGCGGTTGTGATTAATGGCCCTCAATCAATGGTAATGTAGTTGTGTGGATTCCATCAGCTTCACTACGTGTTCTATCGTGGATTGTCCACACATACCCATCTTTAAAGCTTAAATTTCCATTATGCATGTATTTATTTAATAGCATTGCTAATATATCATAAAATTGTTCAATGAAAATGGGCTATCGTTGTTCTATCAATGAATGCCGTTATTAATATATCTCATACTGACCCCCAGAAACATGTGAGCTCCATGAAAGTTCTCGGAAAGTTGGTAAATTAGTCAGCATAAGATGAATCTTGGTTCGATTTATGTTTGTTTGTGTGAATATTGGTTGAGATTAACATCGATTTGCTAATTTGAAGCATATGCACAGGTCTTATCACAGGTTGAGGCATTGGGCTCCATAAATTTCCCACTGGTATGTGAAATTTTACAGCTGTGCTGCTCTTAGATCTCTCAGATGCCTGTGGTTGTGGATACTTTTGAGCAACTATGCAGCTATTCCGTAGCTTCTCTTGATAGAACAATAAGTGCAACTTATTAATCAATACTAATTTACATAATGATCAGGGTATATCATCCTAATATTTTTGTTGTCGCTATCATGTTATCCTGATATTATGTCAATAATGACGGTCTATAATATTCTTTTGGGGTCTAAAAAGAAGCCCGTGCACTACCAGTAAATGCAGTTGCCAGTTCTAATATTACAATTCACACTTTTTGTCCATGAATGATCTATTTAAGCCTCTAAACTTTCAAGGTTGTAAAAGTGAGCATTCGGTAATGGTTTCTCTCAGAGCATATTAGAATGAGGCATATTGGTTGGTTGCTTGATGATATTCACAACTTTGTTACTTATGCAGAATCTCATTGCTACTAAACCTGGGATCCAGAGAATTACAGGCATTACAGTGTTTGATACAAGGGAGAAGAAATCATATGAACCTTTGCCTGATGTAGAGGTTCGTTCTTGTAGGCATTGATTCTATGTATAAACAGTCTAGCAGATGCAGTGCCTTGTTTACAATTTTCTTTTGGATCTCATTTGATGATGTCTGCCTTTGCCACATAAATCCCCAGCTTTAAATATCATTCTGACTTGCGTCGTCTTGCAGATTTTTGTGCAAATGGATTGAACTTCGTGGTCAGTACAGAGAACCTGGCCAGAAGAAGCAAAGCTAGTGGTATTTAGGGCCGGCCTGTCAATTACAAGTACACTAAACTGGTGATGAATAGACATTTAAAGATTCCAGGGTTTCACTAAAGAGTGATTGGTCTACTCATTTTTCGTAAAGGTGGTCTACAGAACAAACTCTCAGAACTTTGACCAATCAACCTACCATCTTTCCTGAGGATTGATCTTGGTTCTGTCCGCTAGTCATGAATTTGCATTGTTGATGGGGCTTTAATCAGGTTAACCGAGTACCCACAAAGTCTTGGCTCGGTAACTCTGATGCCACTAGGCTTAGATTGTTGGTTGTTAAATCCAATGTATCCTGTAGGAGCCCTAATCTGCTTCTGAGAAAACCTCACAGGTTAAATGCTCTTATTTTGTTGGAGCAGCTGGTGGTTTGCCGTTGAGGGGCACAGAACTCGATTCTGTTGGATAAATTAGCTTTGTTATCATTGAATTTTACTCTTCCCTTGGTGCCTTGGTGGATGTGTACATCGCAATCTTTTTTTCCCTAGTCTTCCCTTGTTGAAGCTTAACTATATTATGGCGGGAAAAAAAAAAAAAAAAAGAATCAACCGTATATATGATATCTCCTGGGACTAGGAAAGTAACCCTAGGTCTATCTGCGATACATCAATGCCGTTGGAATTTATGAAGGGTGGTGCTATTTGCAGACCATATGACCAAAATGTTCTTTTGGAACATTATACATGAAATGTACAAGAATAATCAGAATTGTGTACTTGGATTATAAATGTTGTCTATAATAAGGCGTATAGAAATTAGCAAACCTTGTTATTTAAACCTCAAACCTCTTAATCGCAAGTGGCTTCATGTTAACCTTGACTAAACAATTTGCAATGAACAAAGCGAATGACAAAACGATATTCAGTTCTCAAGCTGTACCGTGTTTTATTTTCTGATCACTGTTCTTTGTCAAGTCGCATTTACAGGATTCCAATTATCATCACTTGAGAATTCCAGTTGATTTTTGCCAAAGTTATTTTACTTTTTTAACTCCAATTTTAGGAGGAAACAGAATTTTGTATTTTACTCAATGAACTGGACTGAACTTCAAAACCTGGTCAATATTCAACTGGCTAAATTCTATTACTGCACTAAAGCGGTGGACGGGTAGAGATTTTTTTTCCCCTTTGAGAAATACTTTTTAAAACATCATTTCAGTTTATTTCATTGAAAAGCACATCAAGAATACCCTACAATAAAGCCACGTCAAGAATGCAGCCTTAATGTGATAAATAGGAAAACCACCCATTACATACACTACGATTCAATAGATTTTTAGAGGGTTGAGTATTAAGTGGATTTTTGCTTGCCTTCATTTTGCTTCTTTTTTTTTTTTGGTGGGGATGGGGGACACATATCTAGTAGTTAAAAATAAAAAAAATTCAAAGTTGAAATTTTATTACATTGATGTAGCGAAGGATAAAGTCAGATAACATTAAGAAGCATGAATATATATACATCCAGAAAATTTAAGACAAATCTAGTGAAATCAAATCAGATGTCCCAAATGGGCTTTTACTTTCTTTTTCTCTTATTCTAATTGGGATCATGGATAGCAAAGTGAAAGTTAAATGAATCAGGCTTGTGAACCCCAAGCTGCCCAATTGGCTTCACTTCCAACACGAGGCATCATAGGGACCCTTGACTGCGAATCAACATTGAAGTTGGCCCCACACATTATCCCTTCACTATCAATCCTAGGCATTGCCTTCATCTTCATTCTAGGATGCTCAAAGCTTCTCAGACCATGATCACTGTGAAACAAGCACCCTACAGTTTCACCAAATTTCCAGCATTAAATTTCAGATCCAACAGAGACAATTTAATAAGAAACCTAATATGCGTAAATGAGGAAAAAGAACACCCAGAAATATGCATACCAGTGGGGAATGGGGCATAAGATTTAGCACAACTTGCTTTGATTAGATCCAAGTCTTCAGAAATAACTACAGAGCCATCCGCTGCAAAACCCCAGAAGAGTCCGATCTGTTCATTGGAACCCTGCTCAGTAAAACCAGAATGTGAAATTAACATATTAGCAGAAGGATCAACACAACCTTTCACAGTACAAAATCAGAAAAGACTCGAGGATTGGCTTTACCAGGGCAGCAAAAAGTGCTTTTTCTTTGTGATCATAGATCACAAATCCAAAATTTCCTTCAAGCTCTTTCAGAACTTGATCAGCTGGGTATGGACCTCTGTCACGCAGTGTCCTGTAAGCTTCTATGATGAACATGGCCTCGTTGGTTCCCTTTGATAGGCCATACTGCTTGATGAGGCTGCTCAAATTGTTCAAACTCCCCAAGAAAGTACAGTATATGTCATCCAAACCACAGAACATCCTGTGACAGTTTTTGCATCATCAGTTATACATAATCTTGTTTGAAATTCACAGATCCATTAACTTCATATGCACTAATCACACAGGCAATGATCCAATTGGGTGAATTCCAAACTAACTTCGACTTCAAATGTACTCAATCCCATAAGGATTTTACCTCAAAATCCAAACTTTCATTCATTTAAGTAGGATCTGATTCAAATGCAGCGATGATCAGAATCTCACAGGGTATTTACCCACATGGGATAAATTCCCAGAGATCTGACTGGAATTACTTCAAATACATTGGTGATTCAAGCAAAGGAGGCCATTTCAAAATCTGAAAGTAACCTACATTGTCATATTACCTGTTTGGAGTGGAAGGGGAATAAGCAAACAAGGCATCCATCCCAAAGCTCATGTAGAAAGCAGAGGTGGGGTTGGAGGAAATGAAATGATTCAAGATGTCATGAGGAAGCTTGGGCTTTGTGGCTGAATTCACAGAAGCAGGGCTTTTCAGCTCCTGTGGTGGGTTCACCAAACTCTCCTTGAAAATTCCTAGCATGGTTGCTTTTGCCTCTGGATTAGATTCTTCTTCTTTTTCTTCTTCAGATGGCACCAACAATCTCGCCTTCTTTTTACCAAAAAATGAATACACCTTTAACAAGAAATGCAGCAGTATCAGTACACCAATTAACTGCACAAAGACCATGAAATCTCCAAGTGTTCAACAATGCGTGTGTTTGTGTGTGAATGATGCACAATAAGAACACAATGTTTCCAAAATCAATATGAGAGAGAGAGAGAGAGGCATACCAGAATGAAACAGAGAATCAAAATCAAATAGCAAAGCGAAGAGACGAAAACGGAGGGTGATGTTAGAACTGGTCGCTGGAGGGCTAAATATATAGAGAAAGAGGCTCGCGGATGAAGGGATCGTCTCTCTGACTCACAGTGTGTTGGCTCTTTGCTGCGCCTGTGTCGATGTGGAAGGCTTATCCCAAACAAAAACAAAAGACGCGTACCATGTACTGGCACGTGGGTATGGTCATGAGCGGCTCACGTGATGTGCTGACGTGGAGGGAGTTGGTGCGTGGGGTAACGGGTAAATGGTCAGTAGGTTGGAATTTAACATTAGAAAATGTCTCCCAATCTTATCCACAACACGATCATCTGACTCAGCAAATTATTCCTCTGTCGGTGTCCACCAAAAAGCGCGTTCTTCAGCTTCTTTTTTTAGCGCTTCAAATATTATTTTTGGCCTAAAAAAGAAAGCTTTTTCATATATATTTATATATATATTGACCAGCATATATATATATATATGTTCTGCTTTTATATGCATTAATTAAAGAAGTATTAATGATGAAAATCAAAATAAAAATTATACTACTAAAATTTGACTCCTTTTTTATTTATCAAAATTATTCAGCTGAGCAGATGTAGACGTTTCAGCCTTCTCATAGCCTGAATGGGTAGGAATCTAAAGATACGCTTGAGGTATAAATTTGAATTTTTGAAGTGATTAAAGAATAAGTATCTTTCAAATAAATAGGAAAATTTTAATTTTTAACATCTTAGACCACCTACGAATGATCGTATGTTTCTACAAGAATTTTTTTTTTATTTTTTTCCAATTAATTCATATTTTTCATTTATTCAATTAATGGCCCCTTTGGTGTTGAGACAAGAGGTGCGGATTTTTTAATAATATAATGTGCTTCCCGATTTGGTCTTCACACACTTCATCTAAACAAATTGTCTAAATCATATTCATATCTGAAATGTCCAAAAATAAAAGAAAAAATTTCAGATAAAACCCTTCGAATATACATAACTCCAGATTGGGTCCTAGAATTGTGTAAATGACAGAAAGGGTCAATGACCCAATTTGTCATTTGTAAAATCAAAAAAGATTGACAATTTTGTCCTCATTTGTATTCATTCACTATAATAATTTAAGAAACCACTATAAAGGTTTAGGCGTTACCTAGATTCGTGTAGAGAATAACTACTCATTTTTTCGTAGTCAGGAATGCCCCATGAGAAGATGCCTTGTTATTAACTACAACTAATCATGTAATCACTAGAACAGTATAAGCGTTATCTAGATTCGTTTAGAGAATAACTACTCATTTTTGCTTAATCAGGACAAAATTGTCAATTTTTCTTAATTTTACAAATGACAGATTGGGTCATTGACCTTTTTTGTCATTTACACAATTTCAAGACTCAATCTAGAATTATGTATATTCGAAGGGTTTTATCTAGGATTTTTCCAAAATAAAAAAGATTTATATTGTCTTACATAGACATTGCAAATATTTTTGGCCTGAACACAGATATTGCAAACAAGGCGTACTTCACAGTCGACATAATTTTTTGTTAAAAAAAAAAAAAAGGTAGATCCAATTTAATTTAATGATGGTATTGGTTACTGGCCAGAAAAATACTGATGAATTGTTTGGATAGAGCAACATCCATGCAGGTGTGATTTTAAATCACTTTTCTTATACCACTCGAATGTCACTCTTTTGTCGGTTTTAATTTCTTAATAAAAAAATTAATTGACTAATTGACAGCAGTGAGTCTACTGTTATGTATTGGGTCCAAACCATAGAGTTTAAGCTAATTTCTATATCTTTGTAATCCTAGGTTTACTACTCTGGCCGTTAGAATTTACTGCTTCCATGATTTTAGGAGTTTATTGTTTCCATAATTCTAGGAGGATAATAGGCGATATGATCAGATCGTTTCCTGATTTGATTTACCCTATCATCCTTATATATGTACACTACTTCTATGAATAAAAATGTACTATTCAACTGTACAAACTGTCAATAACTTAAGAAAATTAGTTAAACTAATTATTTATAGTAAATAGGTATTATTTTTTTAAAAATACCTTTACTAATCATGTGTATTAACTAGAATTACGATTTGATGAAACATTTAACATATGCAACTATTACAAGAATTACTTTTTAAAAAAAAAAGATAAATATAAGAGATAAAGTAAATGAAGCTCTTATATTTATGATCAAATTAAATATCCAACTAGTTCTTATATTAAAAACAAAAAGTCCCATTTGATACAAAATATTGAAAATAAGGATAAGAATTGAAATTGAGATTGAAAAAACATGTTAAAATAATGTTTAGTATTAATAATTGTTTATTATTTGGGATTAGATAAATCTATATATGTAAAATTAGAAAATACCATAGGAGATGTGGTATTTCTCAATCTCATTTACATGAAATTACCTAATTCTACGTAATAAAAAATTACTCGTACTAAGTACTCCTTAATGATTTTGCTCAATCCAAATGTCAATTCTTACTGTTTCGTTGGCTCCTGGGCCTTTAATTGTTTATATTATCCTTGTGCTTAAAATTTTCAAATTGTGGAGACGACACTTGCCACTCGGCAAAGACGTGCTCATATAAACGAGGCCATTGTCACGCCGCTTATTTCTCTTTTGATTTTCTTTTATCGTTGACTAAATTATAAGGCCATAGGGATTAAAATTATCACAAAAATTAAAAAATAAAAAATAAGTCTACACCTACACGTTGATAGAGCTCAAGGCATTATCGTCCCTTTGGATTGGAACTCCATTAAGTAAAAGGTGCCAACCCCAGCCAATGACCAGCTTTTCCCCGCTGTTCCCCCATTAATAATAGTTACATATCGCGCCTTACTTAGGCAAGCATCCGATGAAGATAAATTTGCTCTTTTTGAAATGAAAGATTACCAAATTATCCAGTAATTACAGCTCATCATATGACTTGTGTTTGGAAACATTGCTACTTTACAGTAATAGAGACAACCTATTACTTATACATCATCATACTCCATGCTATAATATTTTTCTTCTGAATAATAGAAGGCGCTCACAGCATTGCCTCCGAATTTCCTCCCATTTAGTGCATTTTTTGCAGCCAAACTTCCCGTACTATCAGAATATTCCAAGAATACCTGCAGCAAAAACCAGCACCACAATCAAATCATTGTGGTCAATGTTTCAAACTCTTGAAAAGAAAAGCATCAGTAATAGTTATCAGAGTAATTACGCCCTATTAAGAACCAGATAGCAACATCCAAATGATACTCAAATAATGAATCAGGAAAATTCAAACCCCAGAAGGTAAAACCAAAAGCTTGTCATGTTAGCCATTAAAGGAACAATAAATCAAATGCATCAGATTCGATTATGCATGTACCTTTCCAACACCTGGGTAAGCCTCACCGGTGCCATTTGGACGTGGGATAACAACATTTATCAAGGTCCCTATAAAATCCAACCAGGCAAATGAAAGTATATTAATCAGAAAATCAATCAACATGGGACGGCATACACACTCTAGGATTCAGCCATTTAGTAATACAGCAACATTAGTGTGTGGCTCCTTATCATTTACATGGGAACCACCGTAGCAGGGGGGGAAAGAGGTTTTTTTTTTTTTTTGGGGGGGGGGGGGGGGTTCTGCTTCTCAGTCTTCTTTTTTATCTCATGCTTGTTTGGTTTCAGACACTTCATGAAACGCCAGAAGAGCTTTCTATTTTCCTTAGGCAATGCGACAAGGACAGATTTGTACAACAATTTTATCCATGGGTGCTAGCCATTGTTTTGGGGGGGGGGGGGGAAACCACAATCAGATGTCAGCAATCTCAAAGGTTGCTGCCCAAAAAGACATGAGTTTATTTCTTCGTTAAAAAAGAACTATTCTTTCTGAAGATTGATTTGAAAAAATTTCTCCCAACCATGCTAGCAAAATTAGATCCAGCCACAAGTTGAATACTCTTGCTAGTTCTGTGGCAGTCACAAACACAGTAAAATTACCACATCATAATTAGAAAAATGTAGTCAGGAAAACCATATATATATATTCCCTGAGAATTTGACTATATATATCTGCTAAACCCAAACCAGGTCAATGTTATGGCATAACATGTACTACTCAAAGCAGAAAACATGGAGACAAACAGGTGTCCGACAACATGCATACCAAATTTGCAGCATTCATCCCGCATGTCTTCCAGTATTTCTTCATACTCTTCATTATCCCTTAGTTGATCAGCAGTGACGGCCTTTTTCAAGAAAACCAAGCATAGCATTAAATTAAATTCAATCAATTTTGACTACTAACAGCCAAACTTCATAAACAGGAAATGAAAAGGGGAAAAGGAAAACCCCAAATCTGGTATTTTGGGATGACAAGATTCAGCATACAGCAGAAAGCAAATTCACCTCGTTAAGCATAAAACTTTGGTAGCATTTTCATCAAGCTTGGTTAATGCTCTTCCCACTTCTGGAATATTTGGCCCACCAACTTCCATGGCTATTTTCTGTTAAAAAGTAAAAATAAATCAACAATTAAGAACACAACTAAGACAAGAAAAACACATAAAAGCATGTGCGCCTGCTTCACCTGCATAGCAATATGCTGTTGTGCCTGTGCAAAGATATGCTCCTGTTCTGTTTTAGACTGTACACTGCCCAAGAAGACCATTTCAACAAATCACATCAATGGAAACCAATTATAAAATATCTAACCCTTCAGACATTTTTTCCCCCTTTTCTCGGGTACATCAATGGAGATTTGAAATTAGGAGCCTTCATAATTTAACTTCCTTGTTTCATGTTCACGTCAGGATAACCAGCAACACCCAAAAAATACCAAAAGTATACCACCAAAAATACAAGCTATGCTGTGGTACAAAGAATGACAAAAGCATGAAAACATTAAACCAATGTACGGAAACTTGATAGCACAGTAGACTAGTCCACTCTGCAAGTTTTCACATTTTAGTTCTAAGAACTTTGAGAAAAAGAAAGGTCAACTACAACTTCTTTACCAAAGAAGTTTATATGTGATGTGCCATCATGTTCAACACACGCAAATAAAATTGAGTCGATCCTCAAGACAGAAAATCATTCTAGCCACAGAGGAAAATTAATCACTTAAATACCAAATACTAAAGCTAATAGGTGCCATGACAAAGGTTTTAGGTTATCGATTAGATATTATCATTAGTTTGAGAATTACGAGTGAACACATTTAGCATTGATATGGTTTTCAAATAGACCTCAGTTTCCTATTTGGTGAACATTACTCAGAATAAGATTTCTTTAGCTAATAACGAGTTGGGTTTTTTTTTTTTTGGTTTGACCAGAGAAGAAGGAGTTGGGTTTGATGATTAGAGATTTAGCATAATCAGGGTTTTCTCAAAGACTTCAGTCTTCTGTTTAATGGACCAGTATTTGATGTAAGGTTTCTTTAGCTGATGAAATTTGGAACTTCCTTTGATTTGCCACGTATAAAGGAGTTGCTGGAAACAGGTATTCAGTCTAATGTCAGATAATGAGCTCCATCTCTCTTACAAATTACAACTCCTTTCCTGAGTCTAAATTTCTCACTTCTATCCTGCTTCAGGGTGTCCCACATCCATGTTCTAGCACTGCTTAGCTTGATAACATACAAAAGAAAGAAGTGGAACTCTGTGCCAAAATAATCATGCAACAGTGTACACAGAAAAATTAGGCAAGAGATAAAGCGCAATTAAAACTAATTCTAGAATCATTCAATGAAAAGACCAACCAGACTGTGGCACGCCGAACAGTCAGCGTTTTGTCACCCATTTTAAGGCCATTCAGAGAGGCACAAGCAATGTCTGTTACGGCTGGATCCTGCCAGGAACGTAGTCAGTAAATTAATTTAACAAGGAACATACAGCTCGTTTAATTACATCATACAATTATATAACCAAAGCATGAACTATATAACTGCAAAACAATATATGTTGCAAGAACTGCACCCAAAAAAAAATTAAAAAAATCCACAGACTTAACTTCTGCATTTTCATCACCTGATAAAAGCAGAAACCGTATCCTTTAGAATTTCCAGTGTCTTTATCTCTAACTAGATCAAAAGCTCTGAGAGGCCTGCAATAGGTCACAGGCCATCCTTGTATGACATAATTTCATGTTTATGTTCGCGAAAGAAATCTATCTTCATAAATAACAAAACCAAGGATAAAAATGCACGGTAGCCTTACCCAAAAGCTTGGAGCAATTCTTTTATTTGTTCTTCAGTAAAGTAGTATGGTAGCCCACCAACAAAGACGCGATCAGGTCCCTCACTTCCGCCAATAGCACTGGTATAAAAATAAAATAAAAAATCAAATATTACACACACAAATATGTTCATAAAATAAAAGATATACATGGTCATCAAGTTGTACTGCCTACATACCCTGCAACAAGCCCAACAGCAGATAAGTTAAGGTTTGGACTTGGTTGGCTCGGACCTAGAGCGGCAGCGACTGAAGGGTTATAGTCTGTAGGCCTACGAACCCGCACAGCAACTCCCTGAGATATCAAAAGGAGCATTAACCTAACTTTCTCCCACAAAGGCTAAAATGCAAGAGATTACAAATATTTTAATTCCTTGGTAGCACAGCGAACAAAGACTGAGCAATAAAATGTTTCAAAAATCAGCCAACATTGCCAACATTTAAATTGGAAATACTTGCCTCAAATATGATTCCATCTAATGCCATTGCATTGCTAGCTTCTTCAACAGTTCTCATCTCCACAAAGGCAAATTTCTTCTCATGATTAATATATACATTGACAACAGAATCACCTACAAGTCAACATATTGAATAAGAAATGTGTGGTTAAAAACATTCGTAAATATGCAAGTATATGAACGGCTAATATAATGATCAAGTAAATAAAATGATATGCATATGGACCTGCACCAGCAGAATTCCCTCCAATAGCTACCATAACATGACTAAAGAATGCTGCAACTGCCTGTTTCAAAAATAAAAGAACAACAAAGTGTGTCAAAAGCACATGTCAACAACTCTTAGATTGGACAAATTAAGCTCTAGCTCAGCAGTGTGCATAAAATATAATATGCTTAGTCCTCCGCTCAAATCTACAGCCAGGAATGCTTGCTTCAACAAATTCATATCATACAAATATAACAACAATCATACAATTTTTCTCTTACATCCCCCTTTCCGCACTGCTCATGATTTATGAATAGTCCAATTTGCTATGATACGACATATTGATTGATATTGATTATATTCATTTGTGATCTAAATATAATCATATGTCCATTTTTAACGATTATATTCCTTGAAAGGTAGAACCTTAGATCCTCAATCTTTTAATCCATTGAGCGAGTTCAGGTAAGATTTTCATAATGATTAATGAAAACTTTGCCCTCGATACACTTGTCTTCATATTTTTGCAATGAATCCTTCACTTGTCAAGGCAATATTTGAAAGGATCACAAGATATATGCCAAACTTTGCAATTAGATTGAAAAGCTTCATTATGAACAGTGAAGTGGATTTTCAATATACACTCTTGAATTTTTCAAAACATTATGACGCTCCTAAATTTGAGATTCTTTTAATCCATCTATACATCTTCAGGGGCATTTACATCATAAGAAACATGAAATGAATATGGTGCAAAAAGCATCAGATTAATGTCGGTAAAACTATATCAACAAGAACTATTAAGTCAAAACTAGTCAAAGATGTCAGTCCAGCAAAAATATAATAGTTTCACTGTCTCGCAAAAAGATGGACCTTCTCTGGAAAAGGTCAGATCTAAGGCTTTCAACAGCATGGTTAGAGTTTCTTGTTTTGTATTTGAGTTGACACCATGTTTGATAACCCAATTATGCTGTACTGGTAGATGATTACCAAGGAAACTTGAACCTCTAAGATATAGCTGGGTGTTAACCCCAAGTTCATGGCCTTAAACCTACTAAAACATGCCTTAAAATAAAGTACAGAACTTGTGTAGGCTATGCATTTTGGCCCTGCTACACGGGCAGGTGATGCATCTCTCAGGCTACTCAAAACACAAGTTCTATGAACCAAAGGGTTGCATAACTTGTGTGTTGTTCAATGGAACACAAGAATTGCCAAGCAAGCACACCCCTACAATACAATCAACAGTAATCAGAGGAGACACAATAAAAAGAGTGAAAGAACCTGCTCGTTAGTCAAAGGGGGAAGCCCACCAACATAAACAGAACTTGTGTAGGCTATGCATTTTGGCCCTGCTACACGGGCAGGTGATGCATCTCTCAGGCTACTCAAAACACAAGTTCTATGAACTTGCATAACTTGTGTGTTGTTCAATGGAACACAAGAATTGCCAAGCAAGCACACCCCTACAATACAATCAACAGTAATCAGAGGAGACACAATAAAAAGAGTGAAAGAACCTGCTCGTTAGTCAAAGGGGGAAGCCCACCAACATAAACTCGTCGTGCATGCCTTGTAGCCTGTAGAGACGATAGGAATTACAAAAAACATATATACAAGCCTAAACACACTGACAAAAACATATTTGGAGGTACACAACCTGCTGCATCATAGGCTGAACTGACATTAAGGAAAGAGCTCCAACCTGTGACAACTTAAAACAGATTAGTTTCGTTTAGAAGAAGATGAAGATACTTTCATGACACACGTAATGAACCACCACCTGTGGCATTCCGAATGATGGCACATTCTGCAGAGTTACTGGCTGAGTGATCCCCGGGATTTGCCCTGCACTATCAACTTTAAGAATACAATAAAGGAAAAATAAGTTCTACAGTGAAATGTTGCATTGTTTTGTAGTTTGCCACTAGATCAAAGAGGAGACCTAAAAGCACCAATGTCTTCATGACAAAGGAAGCCAAAAGAAAATATATCGTACCTAATACATAGCATCAAAATTATAAAAATTCAGAAATGAGTTCAACCACTGCAGATGCTGGGATAATATGTCTACCAATTGGCAACTTTTGCCGGTTGAAGGTGAAAAGTCCAGCTACCGAATGCATAGGCCATCCATTGAATATGCTACAGGGTGTATGTTGATAGCACATGCAGCCCCAGCATTGCCTTCTTACCCAACCATAAATATTATCCAGAAATACATAACCACACACAACAGCCAAACAACACAACAATGGTTCTTAGTCTCATTCGTAGATTTTATTTAAAAAATGAACGGGAAATATCAACAATAAGTCAATAACACTTTGTAACTATTTTTGCAAATGAAAATATGAACGGTTCATGCAAAATTAAACAAAACAGGAATCCATAATTGTGATGAAATTACAAGATTAGGTACAAACCCACAGCAGCAGGTGCTCCAGCAACAGATGGTGGTGCCATGTCAAAACCACTGATCCTTTTGCTGCAAAAAAAGTTAGATGCACCAGAAGATATATAGGTTAACACCACTTTGGGAATAAATTAAAGAAAACAGCATATAAAAATTTTCCTAAATTAAGATTAGAGACACATTGAACAGCAAAACATAGATCATATAAACGGCAAGCCTCAGATAAATTGCTTTAAAATGGGCACAAAAATAACTTATAAACTAGAAATAAAATTGTCAGGGGCATTATACAACAGTGCTTTAAAAATATGCATTCTCGAAGGTTGGCACAAACTATATATCATTGGTTTTTTAAAGGTACCAACCAACATATTCATTTCCTTTCTTTCCATTTCAATTATTCAGGATTTATAAGATTGGGTATAGAATACCCTAATATTATCTCCCTCTCACTTTTTCCTGATAAAAAAGTAAATTAAAAAAAAAAAAGAGGCTACTCTAATTGCACTGCAAAGGTACATTATGGTCATGATTCAGCCGGTTCAAGAATGATACAAAAATAAAAATAAAAAGCCGCAAAAGAGATGATATAAACATAAACACTTTTAAGAAAAAAAATTTAAAAAGGCAGGGGATTAACTATGAAAGTAACACAAAGTAAATCATTGGCCTCTAATTAACGAGCATGAAATGCAATGGGTGTAAAGGCGATTAATAAGGGAATCAGCAAGCAAAAGCAGCTCAGCAGATAAACTGACAGAAGCAAGAGAATGGAAGAGTCAATTAGTTAGTTGGTTGGTTAAAGTAGTTAAGATCCTAACTCACATGGTAACCCCCAAGTACCCTTACAGAATATAACTAAGGGAATGATAGAGGTAGAAGGCTTGTGGGTGAATAAAAAATTCGCAGGTTAATGGTACTGCCAGAAGTTCAAATTCTGAGTACCAAAGACTCTTCAATTCGAAAATCAGTTATGCTAAAACAACAGGTTTACGAATAAAAAATGTATAGACAGTCAGGAAAATAGTTCATATCCCAGGAGAGTAATAGGCACAAAGAAAAATAAAATGCCAGTACCTTTCTGAATGAGACGGGGATCTGGAGCGAGATCTAGATTCCCCCCTGGATCTGTAACTTGATCGTCTTCCATATCCATGCCTCATTTCTCCATCTCGAACATGACCTCGATGCCTGAAAAAGGAATAATATGTTCAATATATGAATGAATGCACAGAGATTATAATAAGAGAGGTGCTAATCTGCATAGTGTGAAAAGCTTGAGAACAGTGTGACCTGTCATAATCATAGTTCTGATGACGATTATAATTGTCATAGCTTTTTCTTCTAAAGCCTCCATTTTTAAAGTCCTTCTGATGGTGTGCATGATAAGTTTTCCTCTCTCCATCTCGCTTTCTCATCCTTAGCCTCTCATAATCAGATCCATGAGAATCGAACTGAGGTAATTTAGAAATTCCAAGTCATTTACCATGAAGTAGTGTACTATGACTACAACTGCAGATCCATAAAAAGAATGGAAAGAAGAGGGGGCTGAAAACAGAAAAAAAAAAAGTCCATCAAAGTGAAAATGGCATTGCCATTCAAGTCACAAACTTGTTACTTGTATTAAATTTTTTTGTCAATGCCAGCAACACTAGCAGTGCTCTTGATGTTATAGAAAAGAACAAAACTCAATCATAAGTAACTCAACTGCAGGTCATAAAAGGCCTTGAATCCTCTATCTCAGTCATGACCTGACAACACATTTTTTGGAGCTTGCATGTGAGAAGCATTTACAACATGCCCAATTTTATAACTTGCAAATGCCAATTAATGATTTAATGTTCAAGAGGTAGGAATTAAGGTTGCAGAAGACAATGAACTACATTTCCTCCACAGTTTCTGAATAGTTTCACTTTCTATCATCAACTTCGGTTCTTGTTCAAAAAATACAATTTTCCTTTTAATGTGCAAATACAAACCCAGCATAACCTTGTTATAGTTAAATCATTGGCATTTTTCATCTCTGAGGATGCAAATATGTTTTTTAGGCATAAAATTATAAACATGTATATATTAATTAAAGACGCATCAAGCAATATCCCTGGCGCATCATATGAATTGAGTATAGAAGTTGCCCCATTGTAGCCAATATACCATATGGAGTTTAAAAATTGCCAATGACCCAAATCTTTGATCCGCTTGATATGATTTCTGATCCCCTTGTTCTCCAACTACCAGTCCCTAGATGTATAATGATGGGGAAAATGTTCTACAGGAAACCATCCAACCACGAAATAGTACCACTAAGCCGTAATCATGAACACCGGAGCAAAGCAACACAACACAAAAACCATGTGTTGAGAGAAACAACCCAAGTTGAAACATAATGCATACCAAACCCCTATAAAGAAAGTAAAGTTTGCGATTACGAATAATCTGACAGTAACAGGCCAGGCGAAAAAAGGCACCTTGTCGCGGTTGCCCCTGTCGGGCTTTGGACCACGACGATCGTCATTTTTCAAGGAGGTTTGATTTTCAGCGTCAGACATTATAGCTCTTGAATCTGAAACCCTAACGAACCCTGATCCACTTTTTGATATCAAGAATTAGCAGCGAATCAATTCCGGGCCTATCAATCTCACGCCCACCAAATTCATATCAAAGGAAAAATTCAGGGGTCATAGATCCTTAAATAGACAGATGAGGATATTTGTGCGCGAAAAAAACATTTTTTTGCCAACTTGTGCGCGTAAATTGTACGGTCGAGAATTTGAGATATTCTTTTATTTAATAATTTACTGCCTCTTCAGATCAAAAAAATAATTTACTGGCTCTGGTATCTAATATTACCTCCGGTCTTAATTATAAAAAATAGATCTTATAATTATGATAGAAAGTAATATAAGAATTAATTGAGTAATTTAAATATATTAAAAAAACTAGTTAAATTAGTTATTTGTAATAAATAGATATTATCTTTCCTAAAATTTACTACCTCCGGTCCTTAATATAAGACCCCGTTTGACTTTTTGTTTGGTCCTAATTATAAGACCCCAATCCATTTTGTCTCTCATATTTATGTATTTTTTTCCAAAATAGTCCTTCTAATAATGATAGTTTTAGCCAATACACTTAATTAGCAAGGATATTTTAGGAATGAGAACACTTATTTATTACAAATAACTAATTTAACTTACTTCCTTAATCTCCTCAAATTAGTCAATTGGGTCTTATAATTAGGACCGGAGGTAGTACTTGTTAATCATGTGTATTATTTAAAACTACTACTACTCCCATCCTTAATATAAAATCTTATTTGACTTTTATTTTGGTCCTAAATATAAGATCTCAATCCATTTTGTCTGTCATATTTATGCATTTTTTTCCAAAAAAAAAAGTCCTTCTTACAATGATAGTTTTAACCAATACACTTGATTAGCAATGATATTTTAGGAAACACAACACATATTTATGACAAATAACTAACTTAATTTATTTTCTTAATCTCTTCAAATTAGTCAATTAGCTCTTATAATTAGGACCGGAGGTAGTATTTGATAAAATTTTTAACATGTACAAGTGTACAACTACTACAAGAATTATTTGGAAAAAAAAGATAAATATGAGAAACAAAGTACATTAGGCTTTTATATTCAATATCAAATTGAAAGTTAAAATAACTCTTATATTAATAGTGGAAGGTAGTAATTCTTAAATTTAAATAATATTGCCACTGTATTGAGCTAAATTATAGTTGTAAAAATAAAATTATATAAATATTTTGTCCGCTTAAAAAATATTACTTTCAAATAATTAACTTTAAAATGTAAATAAATTTATCGATGATGTCTGTATCTTTTTCAATGAGAAATATTTATTTTCTGAAAATAAAGTATTTTTAATAAACTTTACACTATTTATTTAATTTTAAAAAATGGCTTCGTCTTTAAAAGTTAAAGGGGAAATCACAAATAAAGACCCTCGAATTAGTAAAATCACTCTATGGTCACCTGAATAAGTCAAATTACCATGAGGGACCCGGTCTCAAATTGCAATTAGCAAATCACACCTAAAAGACTAAAATACCCTTCAATTACTCAGATTCAATAATGAAGGCAAACATTAGTGAGAGACCTCTTCTTTCCTTCTTCTCCTCGGACTTCCTCTCCCTCTCTTCTTCTTTCTCTTTCTTCCTTGGGTCAAAGCAGCATCTTCGTTAGGTTTCCTCCATGACGAATGGTCTCATGAGGGGCAAAGAGGGCTTTCGAACTCCTTGCATAGCATATCAGTAGGGAGAAGAGAGGAAGGTGGTCGGTGACGGAGGAATGGAAGATTTGGGACGACTTTCTGCAATTCTGAAACAAGGAGTGATTACGACCTTTTTGTTGAACAATGGCGATCAACCTTATGGATCGTTTTCTCTGTTAGCAAAGAAGAAGAAGGCTGAGTTCTTTAAGCTGTTGATAGAAGCTACAGGGTTCGCTGGTTTGAATATTTTAAAGATTTTGAAGATGGTCTAGTTGAATACTGTCTTCTTTTTGTTTACTTGTTTCTGGGAATCGATAATCTTCTCATTTGATTTAGAGTTGCTGGTTGCTGTCAAAACACTCTGGTTTTTTGTTATTTGACTTACTATTGTTGTAATTTTACTTAGTAGTGTTGTAACTACAGATTGGTTAGTTTGATCACAATAACATGGCGTGACAATCTGAAAATGTCGGTATTTTGTTTATGGGCAGAGCAATGTTAACATTTAGTATTTATAGTTGTAAATGGTATCAATGTAGATCCATTTAATGTTCTGAAATTCATGACAGACCTCCTCATTGACTTATAATTTCACTTACCACAGTTGTTATTTGGCTTTCTACTCTTGTTAATTGATTTTCATAACTTGTCATTCGCCTTACTCAACTTGTCATAAATTACATATCAGAACTTGTCATCTGCTAAAGAAATCTGAAAATGTTGTCATTGGAAAAGAGAAAATTAATTTTTTATGAATTGCTTATCAGAAGTTGTCATTCGTCTTACTAAACTTGTCATTCGTCTTACTCAACTTGTCACTCGCCAAAGAAATCTGGAAGTAAACGTGTTGAAGGGAATGTAACGATCACCATTGTTGTGATGATAGAAATGCAGTAACAAAAATAGAATTTGTTACATTACATCCACATTGGTGGACATTTTGAAGCAAGTGATGAAGGAGAAGTTAAATATATTGGAGGGAATGTAATGATCACTATTGTTGTAATTTTGCATGCTAGTGTTGTTAATGCAGACTTTTAACTATTATGACAACAATGCAATGATAGAAACACATGACAATCTGATAATTATAGTCTTTTTATATTGTACAGAGGAATGTTAACATTTTTTGTTAATCATTTCTATATTGTAACAATATAGAGCTATTTAATGTTGTCCACTTAATTAGAAACGTGGTGACAGAAATACAACGACAGAAACACAAAAATTCTATCATTTGCCTTATTGAACTTGTCATCTACTAAAGAAATCTAAAAATTCTATCATTTGAACAAAAAAATTAAATTTGTATAAAATGCTTATTAGAAGTTGTCATTTACCTTACTAAAATTGTTATTCGCCTAACTAAACTTGTCATAAATTGCTTATCAGAACTTGTCATCTGCTAAATAAATCTAGAAATTGTCACTTGAAAAGAGAAAATTAAATTCATATGAAATGCTTATCAGAAGTTGTCATTCGTCTTACTAAACTTGTCATTTGCAAAGGAATTGTACAAATTGTCATTTTAACGTAGAATCTTAAATTCCTATGAGTTACTTATCAGAAGTTGTCATATACCTTATTAAACATCCTTGGCAAATGACAAGTTCAGTAAGACGAATGACAAATTTAGTAAGAAAAATGACAACTTATGATAAGCAATTCATAAAAATTTAATTTTCTCTTTTCAAATGACAGAATTTTCATATTTCTTTAGCAGATAACAAGTTCTGATATGTAATTTATGACAAGTTAAGTAAGGCGGATGACAAGTTGTGAAAATCAATTGACAAGAGTGGAAAGCCAAATAACAATTGTGGTAAGTGAAATTATAAGTTAGTGAGGAGGTTTGTCATGAATTTCAGAACATTAAATGGATCTATATTGATACCATTTACAACTATAAATACTAAATGTTAATATTGCTCTACCCATACACAAAATACCAACATTTTTAGATTGTCATGCCATGTTGTTGTGATCAAACTAACCAATCTGTGGTTACAACACTATTAAGTAAAATTATAACAATAGTAAGTCAAATGACAAAAAACCAGAGGTGTTTTGACAGCAACCAGAAACTCTAATCAAATGAGGAAATTATCGATTCCCACGTACAAGTAAACAAAAAGAAGACAGTATTCTCAACAATCGAACAACACTATATCAAAAACATCTCTGGAAATGAAAGTCGAAAGTCATCAACTAGCATTAATGATGGGTCACCATTTTTTTTGTAATAAAGATTGGTGGGAATGGCTACAACATTAATCATATTGATGAATGTACAGGTAGGAGATGAATGTTTTTGAGAGGGAGAGGAATAGAAGGAAGAAGAGAGGGAGGGAGATGAAGCGGGAGAGAATGACGAAGACAGAGGGAAAGAAAAGAAGGAAAGAGAAAGAGATGGGGTGATGGAAGAAAGAGAATAAGGGCACTTTTGTCTTTTTAGCCTGATTTCATAATTACAATTTGAGACCGGGTCCCTCATGGTAATTTGGCATATTCAGGTGACTATAGAGTGATTTTGCTAATTCGAGGGTCTTTATTTGTGATTTCCCCAAAGTTAAAGCTCTTAAGCGGATCAGTCAACACTCAACCGTGAAAAGACTGATTTGTTGATTCATTGGTTAAACTGGTGAAATAATTGTTCATTGATTGATTGCTAAATTTATTAATACTTTTGCGGTACTTAATACAAGACTTAATTATTAAGTTAAATTTTATTCTAAATATAAGACCTATTTATTATATTTATCAATTTTTTCTAAATTATCCTTATAGATACTCTCTCAACCATAATCAAGTAGAAGAAAGAGAGAGGATATTAAAGAAGATGATTATGATGTTTTAGAAAAAATATGTCATGTTTACAATTAACTAACTTACTTAACTTTCTTAATTTAATCAAATTAGTTAAATAGATCTTATATTAAGGACTGAAAGAGTACCATATTGATATTGATTAAAGTCATCACATGCACAGGCTATAAATCGCATCTTCCCTCTCAATTATTTCCAGAGGCCAGTGCTCCTATATCCCTTTCCTTTGTCTCCCCAACAAAGTTCAAATATTAAAAAAGTATGTAAGCTTTTCATTTCAAAACAACTTTATTTTTATATTTATGGAAAAAGATAACGTATTCCTTTGAAAGGGATTTTCTTTGGGGAAAAAAAATTATGAAAGAGGCTCCAATACAATTCTCATTTGAATGTTTGCCATAGCTTTCCTGACATCTTCTCGGCATCATCCACCACAAGGGGTTTTCTTTCTTCTTCTTCTTTTTTTTTTTTTTTAAGGTTTTCTTTCTATTGTTTTTAATTTAAATTTTGTAAGGTTTTGCGGGTGAATACAAGCTGTTCATAAGACAGCTTTTTAATTGTAAATTAAAGAATACATGATCAATATATGAGAAAAATATTATTTCTTCTTATGTAAAACATGCTTATAAGTATTTATTTAAATGATTCTAAACAAGCACCACGTGAGAAAAAATTATAGCAGCATATCATCTGCACGTACCACACAATCCTGAACCTTGATGTTTAGTTAAAACACACACATAGTGAAACATATTCGGTCACAGGGTGCATATAAAATTCAATTTTCCAAACAATACGCGTACTTTTGATTTCAAAAAGATTAATATAATTTTTTATCCTTTATATTTGTCTTTATTTTAGTTTTGGTCCCTTAAGAAGTAAAATGACCCAAAATTTTATTAGATTATAAATATCAATATTATGAATGAAAAGAAACTTAAGAGATCAAAACCCATAATTTAAAATTTGAGGAATCAAAACCAAAATGAAAGCAAATTTCAGGGTCAAAATTTGTATTAACCCATTTCAAAATATCAAATTTCCAAGAACATAAAGGAAGATAATTTTTCCACGGTCCTGGTACGCATATTACATCAAACGATATGGATAATTCAGCTTCCCCACATAGGAGGTCCGTAAATACATTATTTACCTGAGAATCCGTACCACAATCACATGCTACTTTTAAACGCAAACATGCGGTAGAAAACAAACGAAGCATACACATAAAATCAACCAAAAGAACGATGCCAAACTGGCAGAATAGTACGGAAACTCTTAGTCTCTGATGCCAACATTTATAATACCATGTATATCATATTTCCTAGGTAAGATACTACGATATAACCAAAAAAAAGCAAACGAAAAGAAAAGTAAGATATCTTATATGGCTCACGAAATTACTTAGATGTTCTGCTTCTGCCATCACCCTCTGTTATCAGATCATTGAAGGTTCCATTACTAGGGATCATGGGCAGGACATGCTCTTGATGGGGAACAACAACATCAAGAAGATAGGGGCCAGGAGTATCCAACATTTTCTGAATTGCTGCTCTAAGGTCCTCTTTCTGGGTCACTCGAGCTGCTGGCACGCCGCAAGCTTCAGCAAACTTCAACATGTTTGGGAAGATCTCAGTCTCCTTAGATGGGTTTCCCATATATGTGTGAGCTCTATTAGATTTATAAAACCGATCCTCCAACTGAACAACCATGCCCAAGTGTTGATTGTTCAACAACAGTATCTTAACTGGGAGATTCTCCACCTTTATAGTGGCAAGCTCCTGAACATTCATTATGAAACTTCCATCGCCATCAATGTCCACTACGAGAGTGTTTGGGTTAGCCACAGCAGCCCCAATCGCAGCAGGCAATCCAAAACCCATAGCCCCAAGACCCCCTGATGTTAACCACTGTCTAGGTCTCTTGTATTTGTAAAATTGAGCCGCCCACATCTGGTGCTGTCCTACTCCAGTACTTATTATTGCTTCTCCATTTGTCAGTTCATCCAAAACCTGAATGGCATACTGAGGAGAAATTTCTTTCTCAAATGTCTTGTAACTTAATGGGAATTTGCGTTTTTGCTCGCCCAGCTCCTCTCTCCAAGCTTGAAAATCAACTTTATCTTTGATTCCTTTGCTCTCTAGCATCTGATTAATGGCCTTCAAAGCCAACTTCAAATCTGCACAAATGGACACGTGGGGCTGCTTGTTTTTGCCAATCTCAGCTGAATCAATGTCTATATGAACGATTTTAGCACGACTAGCGAAGGCTTCAAGCTTTCCTGTCACCCGATCATCAAACCTTACCCCAAATGCAAGCAACAGATCACTTTTATCAATGGCATAATTAGCGTACACTGTCCCATGCATTCCAAGCATTTGGAGGGAATGTTCGTCAGCAACGGGATATACTCCTAGACCCATTAAAGTACTAGCAACAGGGATTCCGGTGAGTTCCACAAATCGCCTCAGTTCTTCGCTTGAGTTCATGCAACCACCGCCAACATACAGAACCGGCTTCTTGGAGTCCAATATCAACCTCACAATCTGCTCTAAAGGTTCCAATCCGGCGACTTGGGAAGCCTCGCCGTGTATCCCGGCAGCTTAATCGGTTGGTCCCAGTTAGGAATCGCAAGCTGTTGCTGTATATCTTTTGGCACGTCGATTAATATTGGGCCTGGTCTGCCAGAAGTAGCTAAGAAGAACGCCTCATTCACAATCCTAGGAATATCGTCTACATCGAGAACAAGATAATTATGCTTCGTGATCGATCTTGTTACCTCAACAATGGGCGTCTCCTGGAACGCATCAGTACCAATCATCCTCCGAGGGACTTGCCCTGTTATGGCGATCAGAGGTACGCTATCAAGCAGTGCGTCAGCGAGACCACTGACCAGATTGGTGGCGCCAGGACCGGAGGTGGCGATGCAGACTCCGGGAAGGCCGGATGAGCGCGCGTATCCCTCGGCGGCGAAAACGCCGCCTTGCTCGTGGCGCGGAAGGACGTTACTGATAACATTAGAACGCGTAAGCGCTTGATGGATCTCCATTGAAGCACCGCCGGGGTAGGCAAAGACATCGGTAACGCCTTGGCGCTCAAGAGCTTCAACGAGGATATCAGCGCCTTTCCTGGGCTCGTCAGGGGCAAATCGGGAAACGAAAGCTTCCGGCTGGGAGGCGGTGGTCGTGGGGCCAGTAACGGAAGATGCGCGTGCTGGTTTTGCGCTTGGTCCGCATGGATTGGAGATGGAGCTGGATATCCGAATACCAGGTGAATGAACAGCCTTCTTCGAGATTGAATGAACGGGCAGGTGTTTCGTTGAAGTTGAAGGGAAAGAAGGAGAAGAAGATGACGATGCAGAGAAGAAGTGTTTAGGAGCCAAGGTCGCCATTTCTCACAGGTCGAAGTTGAATCTGAATCCCTGAATTTATAGGGGTGATCGAGAAACGCAACGGCGCCCGAGACGCTGAAGGTCCTTGAAATTACAGACTCAATTATTTTTATAAATTTTGATTTTTTTTATATGAGTTTTATTAATTTAATTAGTTTTTTTAGTTCCAATTGCCTATTAATTTATTTAATATATTTTATTTTGAATTATTATTTTATAGAGGTAAAATTATTATATTTTAGTTTAATTATGATTAATTGATTTTTAAAAACAATTAATGCTACTTTATCTTTAAATTTTACTTGTAGGTTCTTGAAAGATTCAAAAATTAAAAAAAAATTAAAAAAAAAGAAAAAAAAATAATAAGGGGACGTTTTGTCCCAACCTAATATACTACTCCTCCGGTTCTAATTATAAGACCCAATTGATTTATTTGAGGAAATTAAAAAAGTAAGTTAAGTTGGTTATTTATAATAAATAAGTGTTATCATTCTTAAAATATCCTTACTAATTAAGTATATTGGCTAAAACTATCATCATTAGAGGATTATCTTGGAAAAAATACATAAATATAAGAGACAAAATGGATTGGGGTCTTATAATTAGGACCAAATAAAAAGTCAAATGGGATCTTATAATAAGGACCGGAGGAGTAATATACTAATAATCATCATCTAAAGGGGGCGGAAGACGCAACACGCCGGGGAAGCACTATTCATCGTCTTCATTGGCGGCGTGAAACAGAGAGACGAGCTGGTGGAGGAGAAGCACAAGGAGCAAAGCGTGGAGAGAAAACAAAAAAATAGAGAGCGACAGCAACAGAGCGTGAGCAACCAAAGGAGGACCAGTGAGCGATGGTGCTTTCACCTTCTTCTTCTCATGGGCACGAACAGCTACAGCAGAGGGGGAGGAAGGGATTCAGCGTGAACAGTGTTCTTCCATGGGATCCTGTAGCAAAGTTCTGAATATGGCGGCATTTTTCACGACTAATCGTGGCTACAGCTATGTAATTCTCTAATTCAACAATAATGACAGGAATTCGGATCATGAAAGGGGAGTTTTAGTTACTTTAATTTTCTGTCCAATAATTGTTTAACAATTCCTAGGTCTTAGGATAATTATTCTAATTATTGGAAAATTTTGTATTGTTAAATCTGATTATCTGTGGAGATTACTGTGACTGAATTATTGCTTAGCATTTGATATTGGGCTGTTATAGTTTTGATTTCAACTATAATGTTGTGGTTATGACATTTGCATTGATTTTAGAATTAATATATTGTGATTTTTTAAGGTGGCTTGGAATTTTAGATCATATCGTCTCTTGCTAATTTTAATTCTATTGTTTTGGATTTAAGAGTTTAATTAAGCATTGATTTTTAGTATCCTTAATTCCATTTCACTATTCTGGTTGCAGTTAGTAAATTAAAATTTTGAGAAAATATTTTGTGACAATTCCAGATAGCTCGGTTGTTGGATTAAAAACTTAATTATAATTCTTAATTCATTGTTTTAACTCTCGTATCTTTTAGAGTGATGATTGCCTGCGTTGTTGAATTGGAGGATTGATTATTATCATTGTTATTCGTGTGTTTCATTTTCATTTCTTTTATCTTCATTTATTTCAATCATTTTTATATATAAAAAAAAGGGTATTTTAATTTCAATTTAATTCAAGATATTTAATTAGCAATTTTTCAAAATCAAAAATTCCTTTTATAGTTTAGATTACTTGCAATTATTTACTATGATTTAATTTTATTTTCGGCTCCTTAAAGTGAATACGACCAAGATTGTGCACTATATTACATTAATTCGGTTAATTTTTGGAGTAATCCCAAAGTGACAAATTAAGGGCAAGTTATCTTCAAGTGTTTGTGGTTTATATTCCATGTGTCTCCATCAAATTTTTGGGGGGAAAAATTATACTTCAAACAAGTTAATACATTTTAAATTTTAAGATAATTTTTATTGTGATTCATAAAAACGTGTTTTTATTGTATATATTGTATTTACGAGGTTTACTGCCAAATTTATACACATACACAAGCGGGAAAATGGTCTATTCCCGAAAAAGGAGTCTTTTCTTTTCCTTTTTCATTCAACCCCTTCTTCTTTTTCTAATTTTTAGATTAATATTTCAAGGTTTATATTTTAATTTTTTAAAAGCATTACTAAAATTTTAAATTATAAAATAAATAAATAAATAATAAATTCAAAATTATTAAAATTTAATGTTCAATTGTTTACAAATAAATTTAAAAATTTAAAATATTTTATAAATAAGTTTTAAAATAAGTAAAATACGAATCATTTTTTAGCAAAAAAATGAATCATTTAAATGTGTCAATTTAACTATTAGAAAACAAGAGATGAGAAAAGGACGGGATGGAAAGAGGAGAGATTGACTTGAGAAATTCTATTAACTGTTATGAAATAGAACCAAAAATGAAACCACAAAAGTAAAAAGATGAAGACAAGAGAATGAGATTGCTTTTGTATCTCTTCAATCTCATTCTCTTGTCTTCATCTTTCTACTTTTGTGGTTTCATTTTTTGTTCTATTTCATAACACGTTATCAACACGAGACTCTACCATCAGAATCCATGGCTCCTAGTTGATACACGTTGAAGTTTTGTTCGTTGAATGAAGATAGTTTGATCCGAACAGTTTGGTAAGATTTCTCCAATTTATTTAGAGGAAATGATGGTTTTGCATCTTAACCATACTGATTCATTGGCAACCAAATATTTTATTTATCGTATTGAGATATGAAAATTTTTATTTCTTACTTTTCTTATATTTTTATAATCCTACTATCCTTAAGACTTATTGATTTGCTATGATGTTTTTGTTTATCTATAAAATTACTATATATGATTATCATCTCTGATATTGGTTAATTGTTGTCTTGGAAAGTAGAATGTTAAACATATAAATGAATGGCTAATAGCCATTATATTCTTGATTTTGTGATTAGATGGCCAGAAGCCACATCACGTTTTGATAATTATTTGATAAAAGACCATCTTGTGGTAGTAACAGATGGCATGACAAGACTGTCACAATTTGATAATGTATATCAAAGTCTTGAAGATTGATGGTTAAAACCTCACGATACAAAAGAACTTTGTAGTTCTGAAAATTTTGTTATAGTCCGGAAGACTCATATTTGAGAAAAATGATGATATGCTATTGAAAGCAAGGAATATATCCATAAGAGTGATAAAGAATATGATAACATTGTATCAGTGGAACTGATAACTAAAAGGGCAATAATCTTGGGACTTGACTATTGAATCATAATAGCAGAATTAGTAATGGCCCTATGATCAATATGATAAAATTATTAACAACTGTTATAATATGACCAGAAGTCATATAGACAAATATGTATTAGTTCATTGAAAAGCAAATGTTAAAGAAAAATGGTTGTGGAATCAAAAAGACCATGTGATATTATGAAAATATCGAAGCTAATTTTAATGCCTAAAGGCAGTAAGTTGTGAAGAAAGATAGATATCCAAAGTATATATAAAAATAGAAAACATATAAGTATATGCCTAGAAGGCTATGTGTATAATGTTTAATTTTTATTGGTCTTTAAATTTATTGTGATTTGTGAGAAACAAATGTTATAAGAATTTGATATTGTAATATTGATAAGTGTGTGATATAAAACTAAATAGATCAAATAGACTCAAGAGTTACTAGTTATATTTTGTTTATTTATATCTTATTTATATGATCTGATTCAATATTAGTTTTGAATATTTTAAATGTATATAGTACGCTGATCAATATTGAAAAGTTTTGAACGTTAAGTACTTTACTTTTAAAAGTTCATTTTAAATGTTCTCCATCATTTTTGTGTGTTTTCTATGTGTCTTGTAAGTTAAATCTATGATACTCATAATTATTTGTTATTATGTTAATAATATATTGAAATAGAGTTGTCTTTCACACTCCCCCTTCATATTTTGAGTTGTCTTTCATATTCCTCTTAAATTATATAGTTCCTGAAGAACTAGATGTAATAGTATTAATATAGTTTCAGAAGAACTAATACTGATTTTTCTTTATGAGCAGACAAAGTATTGATAGTGAAAAATATGACCCATAGATCTATATCACAGCTTTGGTTCTCCAAAGAGTGTAAATGTTATAGTATAATTGGATCAAAGTCCATAACTATATATAAACTAGGAAGTACTTAGGCTTCCAAGCACAAGATAGGTTATTGGTTTTAACCTATTTTATACTAGCAGCTATTTATGAAATATATGAATAAATGAATCATATTTGAATGACTCAATCTTGAGGGGAAAAACTATTGAAATACAAATATGAGTTGATATTGGATATATTTTTCATATCAATTTCATAAATGGATATCATCAATCATATATTATATTGAAAAGTTTATTATTGGTAACGAAACATGATACAGTAAACCAGAAGTTTACTGATATAATTAGATTTATTGTTGGCATGACTTGTTTGATCATCTTAAACTATATAATTATTGAAGATTATGTATTAATATCCATTGAAGAACCAGAAGATTCTTCCGAATAGCCAACATTTTTAAGAATCCGTATGTGCTGCTTGTTCTCAAAGAAAATTGATTATAAAATATTACTAGTTATGTTTTGTTTTCGAATGAATCACTATATCTCTGGAAATATATATGGGCCCATTTAGAAGCACATAAGCCATACAAATATTTAATATTTGATAGATGCATCTATATAAAATGGTAAGATGTGTGATTGATATTAATTTGCAACCTGAAGTTTGCAAGATTATTTAGATAAATATTTCCAGACTATGTGATTCTCAAAACTTGATTTCAAAGATGCTAGTGAATTTATATATTAGGCTTTTAATGT